AGCTCTGCTTCCGCATTTCGTCTAGTGAGAGCAGGTGGCCGGAGGCCCAAATCCCCCCCCCATCAACATGGTAGCGGAATTAAATGATGATAGACTACCCCAGGGGGGTACCAGCACCCCTGGAGAATCCCTCGCTGAGCATCCACGACCATGTTTCTCCACTTCTGAGCGTGGGTGCTCTGGCTGCCCCGCGTATTCTGGGGGGGGCGAAATTTCGCTCTCAAGACTACAACTGCTCGAGGCAAACAGAGGAACAAGACCAAGGCGACCCCTGCCACGCTGTCCGTGAATTTCTGCAATATCAGGGGACTTCACTCTAACCTAAACACCGTCCACTACCATCTCGAGGCGGCGAGGCCGGCTCTGCTCTTTCTGACCGAGACGCAGGTGTCCTCACCGGCTGATGTCTCGTATCTCTCCTACCCGGGGTACAAACTGGAACACTCCTTTGTGCCTCGGGCTGGAGTTTGCGTTTACGTCAGAGAGGACATCTGTTCTCGACGCCTCGGCAGACTTGAAGGTTCGGACCTGTCCTTTGGCTACGCGTAGACAGTGACAACCATCGGCGCGTCTACGGGTGCCTCTATAGGTCCCATAGCGGTAATGCCGAAACAAGCAGCCTCTTCGACCACGTTCAAATGGCTACAGCAGATCCCCTCTGCAGAGATCGTGATCCTCGGCGACTTTAACGCCCATCACGCCGAATGGCTTGGTTCACGTTTAACCGATCATGCGGGGAGGTCTGTTCATGATTTTGCCTTGGCCAACAATTGTCTGACACAACTGGTTACTTCGCCTACGCGGATTCCAGATGTGGAGGATCATGCACCTTCCCTGTTGGACCTTCTTCTGACCTCTCACCCGGACGGATATCAGATTTCCGTCGACGCCCCTTTAGGCTTCTCGGACCATTGTCTTGTCCGGTGTGTGGTGCCACTCACGCTGAAATCGCAGTTGCATTCTGCAGGCTGCCGCCGTGTTTGGCACTATAGGTCAGCCGATTGGGATGAGATGCGGTCTTTCTTTTCATCCTACCTTTGGGGGCGGGTTTTCTTCTCGCCGGACGATCCCAACGTTGTTGCGGATTCTGTCGCTGATGTGGTACTTCAGGGTATGGAACTTTTCATTCCTTCCTCTGTGGTGCCCATTGGAGGCAAATCTCAGCCATGGTTTGGTCGCTCCTGTAAAATAGCATCATGCTATAAGCAGGAGTGCCCGCTTATAGCATGATGCAGCCTGGGCTGACGCATCAGCGTCCCGGGATATAAACACCAGCGCTCTAAAAAAGAAGTATAATTCCGCCTCCAGGTCCTTCAAAAGAGTCATTGTCAAGGCAAAGTCAGAGCACATAGGCAGAATTGACGAGAAACTAGTTCGCCTTCCTTCTGGAACCCGTGCATTCTGGTCTCTCGCCAAGGCTGTCCAGGGGAGTTTCTGTCAACCATCTCTTCCATCTCTGCACACGGAGGACGACTCACTGGCCCATACCGCAAAGGAGAAAGCCGATCTCCTAGGCTCCTCCAGCTCTTTTTTTGCGTCCAACTCAACTCTCGATGATGGGGGGAGTACGCCGCCGACCATCCCGCGGTGTGAGTGCTCCATGCCGGAAGTGCAGTTCACACAGCGCTCGGTTCGCAAAGCACTCCTCTCCCTGGACATCCACAAGTCGAGTGGACCTGACGGAATCCCCCCAATTGTGCTGAGGACGTGTGCTCCAGAAAGGGAACCTGTTTTAACGCGTCTTTTCCGGTACTCCTACTCCCTAGGCGTAGTCCCAAAATCATGGCAGACGGCTTTCGTCCACCCGATCCCTAAAAAAGGCGACCGCTCAGACCCGTCCAACTACCGGCCTATCGCCATCACCTCCTTGTTCTCCAAAACAATGGAGTCCATTGTAAACTGCCAGCTCATGAGGTACCTTGAGGATCACCAGCTGATTAGTGACCGCCAATACGGTTTTCGCCGTGGTCGGTCAGCTGGTGATCTTCTGGTCTACCTAACTCACAGATGGGCGGAGGCAGTAGAGTCCAAGGGGGAGGCATTGGCCGTTAGTTTGAACATTGCGAAGGCCTTCGAGCGGGTTTGGCACAAAGCGCTTCTTTCGAAGCTCCCTTCCTATGGGCTTCCCGAGAAATTGTGCGATTGGATCACCAGCTTTCTTGCAGATCGGAGCATCAAGGTCGTTGTAGATGGTGCAAGCTCCGATTACAAGCCTATTAATGCTGGTGTTCTACAAGCTTGCGTACTGTCGCCAACGCTGTTTCTTCTGCATATCAATGATATGTTGAAAACCCGTAACATTAAGCTTCATTCATTGCTATGCAGATGACAGCACTGGTGATGCTCTGTACACCGGCCATGCCAATATTTCTCGGGAAAACGTCGCCGAGTACCGGGACGAACTTGTGTCTGAAGTCGAGTCTTTGCTGAACAGAGTCTCAGATTGGGGCGACTAAATCTAGTCCAGTTTAACCCTCAGAACACACAAGTTTTCGCGTTAACCGCTTAAAAGAACCCCTTTGTCGTATCTCCTCAGTTTCAAGGCACTCCCCTTGTTGCCTCAGCCAGTATTGGAATCCTCGGCGTCGACATATCGAGTGACGTGCAGTTTCGTGGTCACTTGGAAGAGAAGGCCAAATTGGCCTCTAAAAAGCTTGGCGTGCTCAGCAGAGCGGGACAGTATTTCATGCCGGCACACCGCCTGCAACTTTACAAGGCGCAGGTTCGGCCGCACATGGAATACTGTTCTCATCTCTGGGCTGGGGCTCCCCAGTACCAGCTTCTTCCACTTGACCGCATACAGCGCAGAGCGGCTCGAATCGTCGACGACCGAGTGCTTTCCGATCGGCTCGATTCACTTGAAGAGATGTTGCATCTCTTTGCATTTTCTTTCGCATATACCATGGAGAGTTTTCTGAGGAATTGTTCGGATTAATCCCAGCCGCCAAATTTCGTGAACGCACTACGCGGCAAACGTCCCGATACCATCCACACCATCTGGATGCTTGGCGGTCCACCACTGTACATTTCAAAAGGAGTTTTCTTCCGCGTACGACCTCTCTGTGGAATAGTTTACCACCGGCGATTTTTCCGGACCGATACGACCTGGGGAACTTCAAGAAAAAGAGCTTACTCCTTTCTAAAGGGCCGGCAACGCACCTGCAATTCCCCTGGTGTTGCGGTTGATCACGGGCGGTGGTAGTCACTTAACATCAGGTGAGCCGCATGCTCATTTGCCCCCTCTTCTATAAAAAAAAAACTAAGAGATTTTCTTTTTTTCTTCACCAAAATTGTGTGGCACCCACTTATCAAGATTTTGGTCAGATTAAAACCTCTGACAATATAATTCAAATTAAACAGATTGGTTTAATAAACTGCATCATGTGTCATGTGCTACCAATCTGTCAGATTAGGCAAATTGATTTTTCAACTTAAACTGTTTCGTCTTTAAATTCATACAATTAAATTGTATGCCTGACTGACTACTTATAAACCTGCTAAAAGTCGTCAATAGATTCTTAATCTGTTTTAATTCATTAATGATATAATTTAGATATGAAACACATTAATAAACACGTCAATTATCTATCGTACCCACTTACAAATAATTGAATAACATGTGTACTCATCATCACACACCAACATTTGGTGGCAACCACATAACCATGGAGGTTAGAGAATGGGAGAACGATTGCTGTAGAAAATAGTATCCCAGAAATATGGACACAACAAGTGAGGCGTTGCGATAGCTACGTTCGTTCAATAAAAGTCATTAATTTTCAGTCTATTTTTCCGATCAGATGCTAAACTACTTACACATCCACGCACAATAAAGTATTTCTCTATTTTTTAAAGTTTCTTTTTGTCTAAAATTAAAAAATTACAGAGCACGAAAGTTTTCTCACCAATGCCGTGGAGAGAAATTTTGTACATTATTCAACTAACTTCATCTACTTGTACTCATAAACAGCTAACTTCGTAGTCACTACTCACCGACAACAGCGCCGCTATAAATTTCACAAATTTTCAAGGACAGGCGTACTATGCTTTAGTACATACTACATAGTGATCATTATCCTGTTCTCTAACCTTCATGCATATAACATTGAAAATCATTAATATATAAACGAAGTATACACTAGTCTATTATTGTTTTACAGAAAGCAAAAAAGAAACCTCTAAAGAAAATGACAGCTAAGGATTTGGGGGTTGACCTAACATCTAGAATAAAGATTATCAGTGTTGAAGATCCTCCAGTGAGGCAGGCTGGTTCCATCGTTCCAGATGTAGATACCCTCATTGCTAAACTTAAGGAAGGAGGTCATATATAAATACACCACATCAAACAAAAAATTATAACATATTTATTGTGTCACTTGTTAGCAAAAAAAACTTTGTATAAGATTTTATATATGGAGTTATGAAGTATGTAGTCTATCACAATTTTATTTGCACATTGTAAGTTTTTTCCATTGTCATGTTGAATATAGTACATTTCAATTTAAATGTGTTTTTTTACATTCACATTATCTTGTCTATTAGCTATATTAAACACTTATTATCAAAAATTATACACTTGCCGAAATTAGTGTTTAATGTAGAATACTTTAAACTGACACATTAATAATAAAAACCTGTTTTGTGTATCCAAAAGATTCTTTTTTAATTGGGAAACCTTTTTGTATTAATATTCATGTTAAAATGTGTTTGTGACCCCTGCAAACATTTTAAACTTTATTCATTACTTTAAACCATTAAAAAATTATATTTACATGTGTCCAATATCACTATAAACTTAGTTAATGATCTTTACTTAAGTGATGAAGTGGGGTACAAAATTTATTGCTCTCTGCTTTAAAATTTGGATTTTGTAATATAAACAAGCTCTAGTCATCTTAACTTATATTCAGCAGTAAAAAAACTATATGAAGTTAAAACTAATTACAGTCTCAACAATTTATGGAAAGAAAGACTATATGTCTAACTAATTTATTAAGTAATCAATACAAGCCTTCACCACTATAAGGCTCGTACCAGACTATTTTCCCTTCAAGGCAACCTGTGACGAGTAGATGGTGACGTGGACTGAATTTGGAACTGACGACGAGGTCCTGATGAATGCCGAGACTTTGTCCCACGTCGACCATAGGGGAAGGGCCGCGTGACTCTTGCACACAATGGGACAGTTCGCTGCAGTTTTCGTTCAGTGCTAAGAGACGCATGCCGCGTCCAAAAGGTGAGCACACAAGTCTACCGTCTGCTGAGTAGCACAGTTCCTGCAGATTTAATTTCAAAGTATTGAAAAAACAAACTTACATATTAAAAGCTTAAAAAACCCCGACCGAAAAAGTTTACTGAAAAGAGGAAAACTATATATAGTTTGGTAAGAATTAATATGAGGGTAGTTTCTTATTTTGGTTTAACATATTATGACATTTGATTGAGATGATCATAACATTACCATACTATAATTTGATATTTAGATTGAGTCTGTGGTGCAACTTAGAGCAACCATCACCCATTGATCCTGTGCGTGATAAGTCAACTTGAGGAATGCCGAGAAATTTTATGTCATCAAATAAAGATAAACTTAATACTAGTGCTCTAAATGTGGCAAATCATCCACATGCAGTAAGGCATTCTTACCAGCTCTTTTAATAATGAGTATGTAAACGATACCTTAATAAAACCTCTGCCCTCATTGGTCTCCTCGATGTAGTAAAGCAGTCGCTCTCTATTTTGTCGGATGTAATGTCTGGTGGCGGCTTCCTCATCGCACGTGAGCATACTTTCCCGATTCCTCGGCAGCGGTGTTTGGCCGGAAGTTGACGGACTTGTACTGATTAAAGAAATTTTTTTTTTATATAGAAAAATGGTTACAAACGAGCACACAGCCCATCTGATGGCGAGTGAATGCTGTGGTGGCCCATAGACATCTACATCTATCCTCGGTTAAGAATCTAAAAGCAAATGCGTAGTCACCACAAGTCGTTGCCACGCAAGCGCGATGCGTCTTGCGTTTGCGATGAGCGGTAAAAATAACTATACGAGACGAACGGAAGGTGCTACGTTGGCGCGTCAGGCGACCGCGACCAGTGGAGGACATACGTACGTGTTCGCGCGTCTTGCGGTTTAATCAAATCATGGTGATTTTTCCGTGATGCAAAACATAAATACGGAGACGTTTATTAGCGAAATAATGTTAGTTTGCAATGTGGTCTAGTAAGCATGAATTTCTAAAAACTTTTGACGTGTTTCATCACATAGTCTACGATATTCATCAAACTGATTCCTGTTTTAGTTTAAATCATGAACTCCTGTTTTAATTTGCATTATATCTTGTGCAAAAAAAAAACTCTTCTAGGGTATGTTCCAAAACGTTTCCAGTATACTGCCGAATACAAATGACGTCATCAATCGACGCCATATTGTACTGGCGTACCGCCGCCATATTGTATCGGATATCCGGCCATATTAAAACAATTTTTATTTATGTGACGCTGAATGAAGCAAGCCAGAATTTGTTTTTATTTATTCAAATACAAAAAATTATAGAATAATTGCTGGTATCTCCATTAGGAGGATATAATGACTTTTGGAGCACAAAATGACAAAATAATCTCCAACACATTTCCAATATGACGCAAATGTATGATGTCACACTGTCAAATGTTTTGAAACGAATCACCAGTATGGCGTCGATTTATGACGTCATTTGTATTGAACAGTACACTTGTTCTATTTTGGAACATACTCCTAGAAACCACATGTCATGCCGCCGCCTCAACGTGGCATAATACAGCGGCAAGACGCAGCGTCTTCACGCCTCCCGCCCCCGCTCCCCGTGGTCGCTCTAGCGTGGCCAGCGCCTAAGGACTAAGATAAAACTGCTTGTTTCCAGTAAAGAGGGTCTCCGGTTCTCTATACTCACCATACGAAACACAGCAGCATTGAGATGCTATTTTATGCTGGTATTCTGTGAGAACGTGGTCCTTATCCTGTCGAGCTGACCCATTCGTACTACACCCAAAATATAGCTGCAGCATGGCTCTACCACGTAAAATGATTATTTTACTTCAAACTATTAGTTTAAAAAATAAAGGTTAATATGCGCACTTGACCGCGCCAAATAAGGCAGAAATCCGAGTTATAGATCTTTTTGTATAAAATGTTTAAAAACCTAAGTGCTGGATTTAGTATCCTACAGTACGATTTTGTTGGTGATTTTGGTGTTAATTAATGTACAATAATACTCGGATGATTGATTCTCGTGTATTTATACTAGGCAAACTATATGCATCTATAGTCTACATTAGTAGAGAATGCTGAAGGTCATATACAACATGTAACAAAAACCCTGTGGTTCCCGTTAACTGCGTTATCGGAGTCAATATCCAAGCATATAGTTACAATTTTTTTAAAAAAAAAAAAAAACTTTAAAAAATTAATTGTAATTAAAAAAAATTAATTTTCAAATTGTATGTGGTTTTATTATCTCTGACCCCGCATTACCAATACTCGTGTGAGTTAGAGGAAATAAAACCACATACAATTTGCAAATTATTTTTTTTTTCATTAAAATATTTTTTTTAAATGTGTTTTTAAAAAAATATTTCTATACGCTTGGATACTGATTCTGATAACACACTTAACGGGAACCACAGGGTTTTTGTTACATGTTGTATAATGAGGAGTTTTACTGGTGACCATAACGCGTGGGACGAGCGAGCAAAGATGGATGCCGTTTATCTTTTTACTTATGACTACTACAACTTTGCACTAGCAAGCAAGATCGCAAACATCGGACTGACTAAAACTTTTCACGACTTTTTCACGGGTCCCAAATGTAACTGTTAGAGGCTATGCTCTTTTTTAATTTTTAAATCTAATAACAAAAACTTTTATGGGCTCAGTTGAGAAAGTGAAAATTTCGGATGTGGCTTACCGAGGTTACACAGTAGTTGCAAGGTGCAGTGGTAAGTATGGGGAGATAGCTGTTCTGAGATGATAAGGGAGCAGTATGGTGTGCATATGCACAGTGGGAAAGTGATGTGACGAAGTTGTGAGGTTTATGAAGGTGGGCTTGAAGTAAGTTGAAGTAACAGTGTGGTGAGCTAATAAAATAGTGAGTGGTGAGGTAGACTTTTGTGAGATTTAATGAATCGTGAATATGTTACCATGTCTAACTTTTGCGACAATATGTGCCTGCTAAATGTCTATGCCTAAGTTTTTGATAGCGTTTAGGCATTCTAAAGGGGTATCATGTTATTTATCGTTTGCTGCTGATTATTAGCGAAGCCAAGCAATAGGCTTATGTGGGGTACGAAAAGTAGTTCTTTGTTGTCAAAATTATTAAGGATTTCCCGACAATTTATATAATTTTGTGAACTAACATTTAAATGCTATATTGAACGCTCTGCATCCCCTTGAAATTTAATCTTTAAAAATGCATCTCTTGAGTTTTTTTCTATTTATTAATAAAAACTCCTGTAATTCGTACTACTCTATTTTTAATCTATGTCAACGATCTATGCAATTTAAGCCTGCAAAATTGTCAAATATACACCTACGCAGATGACACTGCTCCGACACTGCTCTCATTTTTAACGCAAAATCATGGGAAAATCTAAGGATTATTGCTGACTCCGGAATACACCATATATCTAACTGGCTAAGAACGAACCTTCTGACCCTTAACATTAACAAAACTAAATTCATACCTTTTACTATACGTATTCATATTTAAACCCCTAAATTTAACCTAACAGTTCAAACCTGCCATAAGCCATATTTAGATAGCTACAATAATTGCTCATGTGATAAAATCTTATCACTAGGACTAGTACCATCAAATATCTCGGTGTAACCATTGATCAGCACCTTACCTGGAGTCAACACATTGAAAACATTGCTGACAGGATAAGGAAACTAACATGGGTATTTACAAAACTCAGGTGTGTTGCAAATGAACCTTTCACAACTCTTATCACCACCTACAAAGCTCTAGCGCAATCGGTAATGAGTTATTGCATACCTGTTTGGGGTGGTGCAGCAAAAACACATCTAATAGGACTAGAAAACAAAGAGCTCTAATTAAGGTGATGTTCTTGAAACCGTTTCGATTTTCAGCTTTTGAACTACATAAGTCTTACAAATTGCTACTCTCCAGATGTATATACTACTCGCCAGATGTATATATTGAATTGCATTTTAAAAAAGCATCGACATTTACCTTTTATACCTCATCAGACACCAAAACGTAGGAGTACCAAAATTTGCAATATACCACAAAATAAAACAAAGTTTAAGCAAAAGCAATACGTATTCCAATCTATATCTATTTACAACAAATTCAACAGCAGATTGATATTTACTCCTTGACGTGGACTAAAGTTAAACGCGTAGTGACACAATTTTTATTAACACTAAACTACGAGGAAACTGAACAATTTATTACATAACTTTTATACTTCGAACAGCCACGCCAATTGTTAAAGCACTACCACACAACCACAAAAAAACACACACATGCGCGCACACGTACACACACAAACACGTGCATGCTTTGCATGCATGCTTATCATGTAATTATTATTATATTCCAAACTTCATTTACTTCCTAATGCTATTTATTAACATTGTATTGTCTTGGTGGATGAGCGGGGTACCCAGTAATACAGGTTCCCAACCTAGTACAGGGGCCCTTGCGACTGGTTTAAAATGTATCATTGTAAATCAATAAATCATTTTTCATTTTCATTTTCATTCGTCGTTATACACATTAAGATCTTTGATTATTATTGAGATCTTGGAGGTTAGAGAACAGGAGAACGATCGCTACGTACTAAAGCACAGCCCGCCTGTCCTTGAAAATTTGTAGAATTTATAGCGGCGCTGCCGTGGGTGAGTAGGGGCTGCGAAGTTAACTGTTTATGAGTACAAGTAGATGAAGTTAGTTGATTAATGTACAAATTTTCTTCGCGGTATTGGTGAGAAAATTTTCATGTTCCGTAATTTTGTAATTTTTGACAAAAAGAAACATTAAAAAATGGAGAAATATTTTATTGTGCATGGATGTGCAAGTGGTTTAGCATCTGATCGGAAAAATAAACTGAAAATGACTTTTATTGAGCGAACTTAGCGATCTGTTATAGATCCCCTTTTAATAGGAATCCGCTGACACAAAGCACACAGACAGCACTCTCTTAATAGCTTCAGTACTTTCTTATTTCAATACTAGCAATACCAGTCAGTCCGTCATACACTCTCATCCGAAACACTCGCCTCTCAAATTCAATTCTTAATTTGTGTCTTTCTATAATTAAATCCAATTGTAATTTCTAAATAGTTTTTTTAAAAGACATTTCGTGAAGCCCCGTATAACAGATCCCAGCGCCTCACTTATGGTGCCCATATTTCTGGGACAATATTTTCTACGGCGATCGTTCTCCTGTTCTCTAACCTCTATGATTGAGATGATGATTGAGAGCATGTTAGTGGCTAGTTGTTTAGACAGCGGTAATGCGGGAGTCAGGGGTGAGAAAAGACCTGTCTGTGGCGCTGTGTGCCAGCGGCAGCAGGCGGGGCGAGGCGCGCGCGCGGGGTGCGGCGGCGGACGCGGACGCGGAAGCGGGCGCGGCGGGCGGCGTAATGCCAGTGTTGATGCCCATGATGCGCTGCATGTTGAAATTGCGACCCACCTGCCCCCTGCGTGTGTTCACGTATTTATAAACAAACTATTCAATAACTTATACTAGACAATGAAAATAATTTTTACGAATTGTAAAAACATACATTCTAAAGAAATTGTAATGTGATGCTACATGTCGATATTCGAGGTGCACCTTGCAAATGTCAACCACACTCATACCTAGCTATTGGCAGTGGAAGTGTATGGTCGTGAGCTATGGACTTAATAAATAACGAGTTTGATGAAAATTTGTCACAAAAGCGTCGGATTCTGTCTGGTAATACAATGCGTATGCCGCATCGGGTGGCGTCACTATCGGCTACACGTAAACTTGGATAGATTGGATTGGGTGGTGTTTGCGCGCATCGCACCGCGTATTCGTAATGTCATTCTTATCATAAAAATAAGCAAATAACACTATTTGAATCGACTCTAGATTTTTGAGAAAAACACCTATAAAAACTTTAACCAAAAACTCAGTTCAAAATGTCCAGACAAACATTGTAACTTATCGCACAAAAAACCGCCCAACCCTCTACCTCAGAGGGCACAGACTACGGATTTCCAATTGGCACGATCCATCTTGACACAAGTCCCTCGTTTCACTACTGGCGTGGCGGCCTTCATAACTTTGGTGCTCTTTGACGTAAACACAACTGTTTTTACACAGATAAAAGACCACTTTGACGACCATATATATACTTACGCATAATAATTAAAAAAAAGCAACGCGCAAATATGTCAATATGGTTCTTTTTTAACACTAGTACCCGTTAAAAAGTTAATCACTTAGATCCAGACAATCCATTTGTGGCTGAAGATGGGAAGCATACACAACGAATTGAGTCACAGTGCAGAGCAGTCAAGAGGTTTTTCAAAAAACAAAATTATAACAATTCACTTTGCATTGTTTCATTTACCACTATCAGAGCAGAGTTTAGGGCAACCTAGCTTTATAGATAAGATAGGTTGAATCTGTACTACAACCGAATCAGCACGCCTCGACTCCACATGGTCTTGTCTGCCCTACCCCTAGAATGTTTTTGTAAAGCTGTAGGCGCGGTAGGAGAGAAAAAACGAAGAAGCAGCATGTATGCCTGCGATTTGCTACGCAAGGGCGAAGGGGTTGCACTTCTCGCAGGTAAAAATGTGAGGGTATGATTCTACAAAAAAAATCATTACTCGTAAACTAGTCTTTTCTGCACTCTCCCCCAGCCCCCTTCCATTCGCGTACCCAAGTACCGAATGTGAAAACTATAGTTTTATATTTTATATAGTGAAAACTATAGAGTTATCGCTTGGTTAGCTGTCAATTATTTTTCGATTTGTACATACACGTACGTTAATTTCTGGCCGCGGTAAATACTCAATTTCGTATAAGCTTTGCGCTCCACGTAAAATTTTATTGCTTAAAATGTAATATCGCACCATTGCCCGTGGATTAAATATTTTCGTTACGTTATTGGTAAAGCGCGAAAAAAAAGGCGCGATAAAACACACAACAAAGTACCTTACAGAGCAACCCTTACGAATGTGTGCGTGCGTAAAATAGTAAGCGTTAGATATTTAGGAATGACAATCAGTTAAAATAATGCATTACCACGCATTTTGAAATTAAAAGATAAAAATGACAGAATGTTTGAGATTTATTTTAATTAATTTTTCTTCACCATTTGCTTAAATTACTTTGACTGAACCTTCTCCGCGAATTTGGCCGATTATTTCAAAATAACCTTGTATATATATTTACTTTATTCCGCCCTAGATGTTACACTAATGTATCTAAAAATCTTACCTTATATACAATTCTTGGACCATTCTGTGCTGTTTGATCGTAATCGATGCTTCCCAAACGTCATTCTGTATACTCGGCAGGCCCTGAAAATAAAATACAGGTATGGAATCACTATGAAATACGAACATAAGCTACAATGAAAAGTTTCGGATGCTTGTAGTTAATTTTCCTAATTGAATCGTTTTGGGCCAGCCAGTTGCAGAAATCTCACCATAAATAACTCATAATTTAATGAATTTTAAAATACATTAGCACTAATAAATACAATATTTCAAACATTTAATTAAAAAAAAAGATTCCATAGAGTCTCATAACGTTTTGTGTAACAGTAAATTTTTATTATTAATTTAAGGAAGTAATAAATATTAGTCAAAAGATGTTTAGTGCAACAGTTTAAGGCAAGATTAACCATTAGGTAGGTTTCAAAATTTAAGGACCATTTCTGCAACCGAGTGAAAACAAGAGCAACTTAGAAATTTGCACATAATACATGCGAGAAGTCTCGTACTATTAACCACAATGCGCGTAAGCTTAATGTTTATAGGTAATCCATGACTTGAGAAAAGCCAATGTCCACCCATGGGTTGTTATAGTAGAGGCGGCAAATGAGCATGCGGCTCACCTGATGGTAAGTGACTACCGCCGCCCATAAACAACTGCAACACCAGGGGAATTGCAGATGCGTGCCGTACTTTTAAAAAGGAATAGGCTCTTTTCTTGAAGGTCCCTTTCTTGAAGTCGTATCGATTGAAGAAAAAACTCTGGTGGTAGTCGATTTCACAAGGAAGTTGGACGAGTTCTAATGATATTGTTACGAGCTTAGGGTTCGTGACAATAGAAACTGCCCATTGAATTACCAAAATCTACACTTTAATTAACGATCACCAATTAAAACTTCAAACACACTATTAATTAATCACATGTAACACATTATATCGCTCAGAAAGTCCCCGATACTAGATGGCGCTAGTGCCAGGTACCAGACGTCAACTTAGGCACGCAACAATATACTCACCGGTCCGAGCCTAGAGGTGGCCGCCGAGACGGGTGGTACGGCGTCTTGCGGTGCCTCATTGCGCGCTGTGCTGCTACCAGCTTCCGTATCAGCATCCTCGCTCCCACCTTCTCCTCTTTGGTTTGTGCCTTCTGTTCTAGAACTTCATATTTTAACCATATATTAATTTATAGTATGGTATAAATTGAAGGGCTTGCATTGATAATAATGGATGGATAACCGACTTAAAAAGCATAATGCATAACAACCTGTATAACATCCTCCTACTGTTGGACTTATTGTTAATGCAGTGGATCGGGCAACTCCGCCATGTTGGCGATCTAAGGCGAACGAAACAGTGTACTTATATTTATTCCCACTTACCAGCTAGTTCTACCATGGTTATTTTTTAGAAGAGTGATAAACAAGCACACAGTCCCGCTGATGGTAAGCAGATGCTGTGGCCCATAGACATCTACATGTAACTTCATTAAAGAATCAAAATACAGATGTGTGGTCATTTAGATTCTCTCGAGTTCTTGTCACCTGATGTAAGTAGTCCCAAATCATCATAATAGTTTTAGTTTTAGTTCACTTTAACCTCCAAGGAATCATTATTCAGTTATTTAAAATTTACAAATAAACTTAGCTTTAGAATTTTGTTGTAACTACCAGGGCGTCATAATCGCTTCAGCGACAAAGCCCTTTTCTAAGAATTAAAAAAAAACTTAGTTTTAATAAATGAAAAAGTATATAAGCCTATCAAATAGCCAGATTTTTTAAAATATAGAATAAGGGTAACAAACAAGCTTACAGTCCACCTGATGGTAAGTGGATGCTGTGGTCTATAGACATCTACATTTATCCTCGATTGAGATTTAAAATGCAGATGCGTTGTCACCCCTGAGGAGTAAGAGGAATGCCTAGTTTAATAAAAGTTCTACACTCATAAACACTACCTCTATTTTACTGTATTCTTAAGTGTAACCCTACACTGGTCGAGCTGACCCATTCATACTACAACCATAATATAGCTGCAGCATGGCTCTACCACGTTAAATGGAATAAAGGTGAAATAGCTGGTAATGAAATATGCACTTTGGACAATCGATATCGATAGAACTCCCTTAGCCCTAATTAGACAACTAATATCTATAGCCTGTAGTCTGGAAGGATCCTAATCTATTTAGGTGTGACACATGCCGTAAGGATTTAAGAGTCACTTTTGAGTGCGCACAAATACTTTTATGTATCCTACTAGACTGGCAATTCAGAAAAAAACCATTGAGTTATATGTACTACGTACTATAGAAGCTATTCCAAACAAAAAATGTGCACTACTCTGTATCCGACCAAGCGCGCGAAACAGTAGAGTCGCGCATGCGCAGTTGATATAAACGCGCGAAAATTGTCATAATAAATAATTATTTATTTAGATTGTATTGCTAATCGAGGACAATTTTTTTTAATTTTCGTTTATTTTGCATGTGCTAATTTAATATAAAATTATTATTAGCGCCGTTCTGCACTGCATGAATATCGAAGCCACAATAACAGATGTACGGATTGCAGTACAGTTCAGTTGAACATAGTGAGTGTACGGAATGCGAAATCTAGTGTGTAGTACTTAAATATCGATGACAAAAACAGTGTCACAGCCGTGGGTCGCGTGGACGCGGGTTCTGGCTGTGCGGGTAATGGGTACGGTAAATATTCCACGCAGTTGTATTTTCATTTACGACAGTAACGGATTTTAGGCAAATATGAAATAAAATTACATACTTACCTAAAATAAAATTAAAATCTCGTTGATAAATTGCGTACATAAATAATGACAGCGTTTTCTTATTTACATTAAAGAAAATCGGTGTTAGATTTCGAAAACAGTGTTCGCAGTTTACAAAACGAAGAACAAGCCCACTCGGACGCTCGCAGTCGAATAAAGAAGTTATGGAGAATTGACTGTAACTATTTAGTGCTATTATCGTAGTGCCCCTCTAGGAGTATATAAAGTTTTTGATTAAAACTATATATCGATTTGTCGGATTTCATAACAGTGTATTTTACACATATGGTTTTCATTTTTTCCTGTCTCAAAAAATTACAATACGAAAATGGTTTTAATAATTTGAACATGTTGTTGTCCGATTATGAAAGTGCAGTGGTGTTTAAAAAAAGTACAGTCCAAATTCGAATTTTTGCCCGAGGCAGGTTTTTAAAGAAAACAACTTTTTACTACATTCTAAGGCGCGAACTCCTGTCCTGAAGTTAATATCGACTCTAAGCTTTTTGAGTGCGTACTGTAGCAGACACTAATCTGTGCGGGATGTATCCGTAAAAGCTGATTCCTCAGTAATGAGTTCGAGATGAGAGCTATGATTCACCTGTGAAGTTCACGAGCTGACGACTTACCTGTGAGCGCGGCTGGCGTGCGGGCGCAGGTTGCGGAAGGGCAACAGGCGCGCGAGCCGCAGGCCGCGGCGGGGCGGCGTGCGGCGCGGCGCGGGCGCGGGGGCGGGGGCGGCCGCGGCCACGCTGTCGCGCGACGACTTGTCCGACACGGCGTCGCTCGGCTGGATGTCGTGTATGCACGACCACTGCGCGCAATATGGACGTGTGAGAAACGCTTTATTAACACAAACACTGACTCCAGATGGAAAGCGAAGGTTATTTAAAGGTATTATTTTGTGTTTTCTCTTGAAAACTCAATATAAATAGCTAGATATTATTCGGGCGGTATGACCAAGGCAATGAAATTTCAATACACTTCCTTCAAGTAGAGGGCATAAATTCCATCTAAGTCTTTAATCTGTATTCTTAATCTAAGAATATAATATTTTTCCGACAGAGTTTTCTTCCTTGCCAGCTCTCATGTTAAATTATATTTGCTCACTTTTCTCGATTACATCTTATTTAAATATGTTTTTTCGGTTCGTTACTAGGCGCTTAACCTTTCAGCTGGGGAGACTCTAACCGTCATACTCCGTTAGCTGCGGAGCTGTTTAATAAAACTGACGGCTCATTTCATTGGGCGCAATCCGTTTAAATGCAAATTTCTTGATTTTGGTAGATCAAATACTATAATATGTATACATTTCTGAATTCTTTATGAAATTTTCTGTAAACGAGTACATAAATTTAATAAAGTCCCAAAGTAATTAGTGTAAGTAAATATTGAGTAAAGTCAAAATTGTTATATTTCTCGATGAAACAAAATTTTTTTAATACTTCAATTTTGTTTTATTTTAATCTTAAATCTATTGTTTACAATATTTTATGTGCAAAATCATAGGCTACAATACAATACATCTAGATGATTAATGCAAAAAAAAAATAGTTTTTTTATAAAAATATATATAAAAATTTTAAGAAAAGTTTGACCTCCTTCTTACCTTATTTATCACTTAAAAACCTGTTTTTTAAAAAACCAAAAAATAATTATTTTCCCCAAACCCCCAAAAACAAAAAAACAACGCACCCAACGATCTAGAGTCTAAAATAACATTTTTTGTAAACAATACTCAATGCGCCATAAAATGTGTCGAGTGACAAAGCCGTTCAGAGACGCCGCGGGGTGCGTGGCGGTTATATTACATTTCCAATAACCAAAATAATCTTAGCAACATTATTTCTCAAAAAGGTAATATATTTCCTTTAACACAAATAATATCTACGAAATAATAATATTTAAAACAAATATATCTCTTCCTGAAATAAAAAAAATATTATGGATATATATATTTTAAAGAACCCACTTCTTATGCTCCAAAAATATGCCACAATCAATGTCCGATTTTGCACTTTTTGTGCATTATGTACTAGTTCATTAAAATATTTTTAAGCTATTGCATAGCTTCTATCGCGGGCCTTGAGTGCGGGAAAATCCAGATATTTCGTAACGAAAAAAACCTCACGCTCTCCGACGGGCACGGAGGTGTGGCTTGAAGGCCGTGCATTGTCTAACGATGGTCTAAAGTCGTTTCTTTTCCTCAGTCTTCGACACGGTGTTTGTGTATAAAGTGTTTTGAAATTTTGAATATGAATGAACAAAGTGCATTTATTAATAAGGCTGCTCTCTCGCAAAAAAGCTTTTGGTTTATCCATAATTTTTCTATCGGTGTCACATAATAAATAAAAAAATACCCAAATCACCTCCAAATCGTTGAGATGAAACCACTTTACTCCTTCATTGTTTATCAAAGGAATATAAAAAAAATATCTACTGCTTTGCAATACAAAATAAAATAATTTGGTGTGGTTACTTTTTAGAAATATGTATTATTTTTATGATAATAAATTAAAAATGCATCCCGATTAAATACTGCGTCTATATCACCCCCGCATTCGTCCACGAATTCAGTGCGGGGCGCATCGTGTTGCTAGGTGGACTATATTTTAAATGTGCTATAGTTTAAATTCTCAATTTAGATTCTCAATATGTATATATATACTCGATTAACCGGACTAATTGTTGCCGTTAGGGATTCGGATAATCGAAAATCCGGATGATCGAATGTATGAAGAAAAGCGGGTTTTGTGCATTTGTAGTACATATGTACATACATAATGTTATGTGTTTATTAAAAACAACAATTTCAACGAAAATCAATGTTTATTAAGAAATTATTATTTTTTAATAAACATTGATTAAATTCCATGAAGAGATATAAATCTATATAACCATCCGTTACTTGCGACAAACGAGCCGCCGTCACCTAATTTTTTATTTAACTGTAATGCTTTTTCACAAAGCAAAGGGCCAGATATCATTTGCCCAGTTGATCGTTTTTGTAAAAACCAACAATACAAAGCGTCTTCTAATTGCCAAGTTACTCGCGGACATAGGTCCTTAGGTCCGGGACGGGGGTTTGTTAGCGCCTGATAGTAGATCGTCTTATCTCAAGCGGTGTGAAGCGACGATTAGTGAGGTGCGGGAGGGGGAGGCTAGCTGCATTTGTGCGCGCGGTCGGTCACCCCTGTTGGCATCGAGCCGAGCTAGGGAGCAGACTAGCTCGGCTCGAGAGCCCTAGCGGCGGGCGCCGCTAGGGCGCGCTCCTAGCTAGGCACGCGGCGCCTGCGCCGATGACGTTCTCCGGTCGCATTATAGGGGTCGCGAGAGTTTTTGCGCGAAGCCGGGTTGTTCATGTATTGAAAGTCTCCTTGTTTTGTCTTAGACTTATGTTAATAGAGCGTGCCATTTGAATTTAAAGACAATTAATTGGACAATAAATAATAAGTGACAAATCTTGCCGTGGAGCGTGGAACTGAGTAGTTGCGCGTCGAGTCGTATTTTTCACAAATAGTGAGTTCGTTATAACGCGGGTTCGGTTAAATCTGGTTGAATTTGATTGGATTAACCTAATGACAATTGACTTAACTATAATTAATGAGTGATAAACGAGCGTAATTTCCTAGACTCTGAAGTTTCTGTGACGGCTTGCCCCTTCGATGGATCCCATACTGGAATAGAGGTGAAGCCTCGGGATCTGCTGTTCGGCAACCAGCGGGAAGTCAGGTTACATAATATAACACGTACTGAGCATAACACTATCACACACATATACTTACACCTGAATCTTCCTAGGTTTGACCCTACGTCGACGAAATAGGTAAGTCTTGTTTGGTTCCTTTTTAACCGCTATTGTCTCATATTCCACAAGCCATTTAGGCCGACCTCCTGTTACTCGTCGAGTTGAACCCCTGGTGGGCCCGGGTTCTACGACCTTTGCCCGGGTAACTAGAGGCCGTAACAATAGCAGAGTAAAAAATTAGAGATTGTGGTGTTTGAAATTTGTCATCTATGAGAGTGAATTTTATCTGTGTACTCTGTAACAAATAACTATATAGAAAAAAATGTGAAAATGACATTTCGCCATTTTTGTTTGTGTACTGGTTAGGAACTCGATCAAAAATTTGATCATTTTTCTGTTTTTATACGTTATTTCTAAAAAAATTTGAAAATGACTATTCGCCATTTTTGTTTGTGTACTGGTTAGGAACTCGATTAAAAATTTGATAATTTCTCCGTTTTTATACGTTATTTCTAATGTTATTTTACATCAAATTAATTGTGGACATATTTTCTTTAGGAAATACGTATCATTACGACGATTCAAAAACGTTTACATATAACAATTTACCTCGAAATTCACTATACGCGATTATCGTTTATTGATTATATGTTGTTTAAAAAGTATTCTTATCAGTTTTTTTTTGTGTTAAATGGATGCTAAATATAATAGAATGCTTCAGTATTGATAGCAATTTATTAACGAAATATCTGTTGAGATGTGTCTAGAAATTATTAATACTTATTTTTATTTATTTATTAAAATAATAAATAAATAAAAATAAGTATACATTTATCTATATTGAGTACTAGTTATTCCCCGCGATCTCGCCCGCGTGGAATATGGATTTCATGGGTTTTAATTTTTTTTGCGCGGAACCCTAATTCTTTTTCTAAAACAAAAGTAGTTCAAGTTATTCCTTATATCATCAGCTATCTGCCAGTGAAAGTCCCGTCAAAATAGATCCAGCTGTTTCGGAGATTAGCTGGAACAAACAGACAAGCACGACAGACAGACCGACAGACAGATAAAAATTTTAAAAATTGTGTTTTTGTTACTAGTACTTTCATATGCATTTAATAAAAAGCTGTTATTTTAACATTACAAACAGACACTTCAATTTTATTTATTTGTAGATATAGATAATATTATTCATATTTCTTAAAGGGAATATCATGTACATATAAATAAAATAATTGATAGACTATACACCACTAGGGAAGTGAAATATTAGTAAATTCATGTCTTTATCTTATTGATTGCTCAAAAACACAAATTTTACTCGTCATAATTATTTGCGAAAACACCTCTAAAAAACCACTATAGTTGAAATTAAAACGAAATTACTTAATCTATATGCTTCGAAATCACTCAAATATATTCATAACATTAATATTCATAATTTACTTGCTCATTATTTTGATTACTCAAATCAATAATTTTTACAAAAATATTTTAAAGTTTCTGAGAATTTCTAAGCGCTTTTAATCGTCGCGGGCGCTACGCTATTTTAGACCTTATGAGGGCGTTTTTTCAAGTTTTTATAGAAATTATGCATTCACTCGGATCAGTCCGGCGATAGCCCTTTCGAGGTGTCGTCTTAACGCAATTCCTTTGTATAGTACGACGTTGCCACTCTTATTAGTTATTCCGCTTCGTAATATTTTATTTATAGGTGATATTTTGTTTATGTAGGTATTCGATAGATTCCTATAGTCTGTTTTTTTCGCAGGAGACAAAAATAACAGATCTTTATTAGATTCGTTTAGCCCGAATAATACAGTTTTTATGATTCTGGTTCAGATTTGTTTTCTTATCGGTCACCACGCTCAAAAAGTGTAACTTGATTTAATATCAAAGACTTAACTGCATAAATAAAATAAATAATTAATTATAATTGCATAAGTTGATAAAAAATGCTATGCAATAGCTTTACCGCGGCAGTCCCCGAGTGCCACACGTCTTTTTTATACATGGTAGAGCCATGCTGCAGTTATATTAGTAGTATAGTTGTTGCACAAATGGGTCGGCTAGACCGGGGAAGGACCACGCTCTCACAGAATACCAGCGTGAAATATTAGCTTAATGCCGGCTGTGTTTCGTATGGTGAGTGTAGAGAACCGGAGACGGTTTTTACTGAAAACGAGGCATTCCATCTTAGCCCTCACGGGTGACAACGCATCTGCATTTTCATTTGTAATCAAGGATATATGTAGATATCTATGGGCCGCAGCAACTACTTACAATCAGGTGGACTGTGTGCTCGTTTGTCACCCTATTCTATAGAAAACATACAAAATAAAAAGGTGTATTAATTTCAACGATGAGAGCCGTGGTGGCTCAGAAGAGCCCGGTAGCTCAGATGGTTAGCTCTCGCGTTAAATTTCATAGTACGCTAGCAAACTGAGTTCGATCCCCGCTGGCATCAATGAAATTGTTAAATGCAATTTTAAGTGCTGATTTACCTCGTGCTCGGCGGTGAAGGAAAACATCGTGAGGAAGTCTGACTGTGTGAGAAATAAGAAAAAAAAATATTTCGAAGACATGTGATGTTCGCCAACACGCATAGAGGCAGCGCGGTGGACACTTCTTTGCCCTAAAACCCTCTCAGAAGTGAGGGAAGGCCCAGCAGTGGGACGTCTGATGATAGTCTGAAATAATTAGCTGAACAAATTATAGCTAGGCAACAATAAAAACTAATGGATGGATGGACATAAGTATAAAATTGAATAAATATATAACATGGGTACTCGTTTCTTTAAAAGGCTCCTGGTACTTGTTGGATTTACGTATCTACAGTACTATTCATTTACGAATGTTACTGTAGGTATCAGCCATCTTGCTGCGTTGAAACATAACGCAACTTTACAAGATTTGCAAAACTGAAACGTACGTAAAAAGTAAATCAAAAAGAATTATTTTTTTTTAAATTCTTTTTGATTTATAAATTTTGCAAAGTACATACAGATAAAATGTACATTAAAAAACCGATATAAGAAATATGTGTCTGAGGTGACCTTAAAAACCACAACCTGTTTATATTAGAATAAAAAAATAAAAATTTCAAATATTAAATATGAAAATATTAAAAAGCATATGTAAATACTTTCTACTTTCTGTTTTAATAAATTTTTTAATAAATTCCGAAGTCTTGTGTTAACATACATGGCATATCCGAATGCCACATCTAATTTTTGCATAAATCATCGATTGAGATTGGAGTCAATCAAGCTCCGTTTGTCTGCTCGAGGGCGCTAGATTCTTTACGATTCTAACAATTCAACCGAATTTGAACGTGATGCAGTATGGCAAACTTTAGTTCCTTTTTTCGCCACCCGCAAAACAGAGAACTAGAATTCACTACTGAGGGCGTCTCAGAAATGGACACTACTGCACCCATTGATTTATATAACACTAGATCAGTAATAACCGCGCCAAAGCGTTGCCACTGCACATATGGCCACAGCCATATGCCTAGCTAACGTGAGTTCATTGTTCAATGTGACACCGACAGAGTTGAGCCGCGACAAAAATGGGTAAATGCGTAGTGAAAGAATGCTATTCAAGGTCACAAAAACGTAATAAATCAAGCGGCATCACTTTCAACACATAATTTTTAGTTCTTGTTTTCATATAAACGTAAAAAACCTGAAATAATTAAATAAAATTATCGGATATTGCCATTTAGGTCCAATGTTGCCACTTTTCCGCATTTGTGATTGTCCTACATTAATGGGAGACTATATAATTAATGGAGTAAGTTAATTTGTTACCTCTGATTTTAAATATTTTGGAAATTATAATAAAAACTACGTTTTAACTTTCATACAAAATAATTAATTATTCTTATTTTAGTTTATTCATGAATTATCTATTAAATATATTTTATTACCTATTTTATATTAATAATTTTATATTATTTATAATTTCATATAAATTTTATATTAATTATATTTTATTAGATCCCTATTTTATATTGTTTGATTTATTAGAACCATAAAAATACGTTTTATTTCATCATTATGTTTACTTCTATTCATCTGATAAGCTTTGTATCCCTTTTTTTCTACGGGGACGTAATAAAGATTTTAAAATAAAATATACTTTTTTGATATAAAAACAATTAACTGCAGCTTAAAAAAATTTTATTGCGTATTTTAGGTAAAATTTCATATAGTAAGCCACACCAACCCGCCATTGCATGTTTGTGTGTCTATCTTTATCTAATCTTACGACGACGTTATTGTTTTCGCAATTTGTGTAAGTGAGATAGATATATGTTTACTTAAAATTGTTATTAGTTTCAAAGCTACGTCGTCGCGTTTGGATAGTGGTTACACTTTTTTCGACGCGCGGTAATGTGGTTTGCTCCTCTAGTGTTGTATAACTCAATGACTGCACCTATTGCGTATTTACATTGAAATTTTGAAAATATTGCACTTTATCTTCATTTTGATGTACTAAAATTGTAAATGATAAACAATTACACATATTATAACACAAAACTGACAGTCAACACTAAAATTTTACGTACATTTCAAGTCAAATTTCCGCAACCAGCATGTTAGTTCTAAGATAGCGGTTTGCTTCGTACAAATTAAAAAACAATTTTACACGTACTTAATGAGATAAAACATAAAATGAAATTACAAATAAGGAGGTTACTTACCCAGGTATTGTTTTAACACAATTCACCACACAATTAATATAAATTAGTACAAAATAATTACTAACAACTTTGTTGTCAGCGCGCGCCAATCACACTGATGGCTGACTGATGACACTGATGGACGGACGAAATTAACGGATGGTATACATAAAAAATCCTACTAAAGTGTATAGGCTGTGGGGTTTTTATGGTAACCTTTTTTACTTGTACACATCGACATATGGTAGAATGAGTTAGACATAGTGTGTAATGATTTATTTCGACATTAAAAGAGGGTAGAAAATTTTACATTTAACATTAAATAGGGGGTAAAAAATGTCCAACACTTGGACGCCCGCAGTCAACGGAGATATCTTCGTGTCCAAGTGCTAGACATCCGCAGTTGAGAGGATAAAGGATCTCCTGCCTAGCCAACAGTTTGGTACAAATTTTTCACCTTTAATATCCAGTATTTAAATGCAAGATCCAACTTGATATCCCATATAAAGTAATTACACCTATCAACCAACAATCGGGGTAGGACCACGCTCTCACAGAATACCAGCGTAAAATAACAGCTTAATGCTGCTGTGTTTCGTATGGTAAGTGTAGGGAACCGGAGACCTTTTTTTACTGGAAACGAGGCATTCCATCTTAGTCCTCAGGGTGACAACGTATCTGTATTTTGATTCGTAATCGAGGATACATGTAGATGTATTTACAAACTATATATTTTTAAACACCTATTGTTAGCAGAATAGGTTATAGTTTTTATTCTTTATTTTATTAGGCGAGGCATTCCATCTTAGTACTCAGGGGTAACAACGCATCTGCATTTTGACTCTTAATTAAAGATAAATGTGGATGTCTATGGTCCACAGCATCCACTTACCATCAGGTGGAGTGTGTGCTCGTTTGTCACCGGTGCTTGTTTTATAAAAAAATCTGTGCAGACCTTGTAATTATTATTGAAAACTATTCTCCAGTTGCCAATTCTAAATAGAATGGAACTAAAGAAAAGAATACAATAGAAAAAAAAAACAAACAAGAGATAGAAAGAATTCATTAGACACACAAGCAAATAGGTAAACAGGTTGTTTATCTATTTGCTGCAACTGCATTTTATTAAGTAAAAAAAATGATTTCTTTTACTAACCTCAGACCTATCACCATGGCTGATATTTCTACTTAAGGCACTCCAGCCTTGAGGATGAATCTGAAAAACAATAAGTAATTAGTCCGTTAAAGTAATTCCAAATAATGAACTTTGCTTTTAAAATATAACACAATTTAGTTGAGAAACATTAGTACTTTTTTAATTAATTTCTATGAGCTACAAATATTCTAGCCGTAAACAACACAAGATGTTTTAAAAGCCATTACAATAAGTAGAAAAAAAGATTACATAGTTAAAGTAAAAACAATTATATATTACGATAAAAATGTGATTTGAGATTTATAAACCTCGTAAAACTGCACACACCGACTTGCGACCATGCTCATATATGGGTATGTTCCGAAACGTTTCCAGTATACTGCCGAATACACATGACGTCATCAATTGTCGCCATATTGTGTCGGATATCCGGCCATATTAAAACAATTTTAAATTGTGTGTACGCTGAATGCATGTTTCGCCAGAATTTGTTTTTATTTATTCAAACACAAAAAATTATAGAATAATTGTTGGTATCTTCATTAGGAGGATATAATGATATCCTCAATATAATAAGCACAAAATGACAAAATAATCGCCAACATTTTTCCAATATAGCGCAAATGTATGACGTCATATACTGTGCTATGTTTTGGAACGAATCACCAGTGTGGTGTCGATTCATGACGTCATTTGCATTGGACAGTACACTGGGTTCTATTTTGAAACATACCCTTGGTCTGTTAATATGTCACAATTGGGCAACCTGTCAGTAGTTTATTCAATACAGATGCGGCAAGGACTAGACAGCGAAGCGGCGCTGACGCAGATGGGTACAATTATAGGTATAATTAATATAATTATAAGTAGGATATAATTATTAGGTGCGGCACACGGGTTATGCTTTACATGCTTACCGATACCCTCGCCCTTGTGTAATCGCTAATTTCCTGACTCTGGGCTGTTACTGAGAATTTCTTGACAGGAAAAACTCAATAACTGATTTTTGGCCTGACCCGGAATTCACACACTCTAACCAACGAGTCAGTCATCATTATCAGTAAAAGGAGAGGTCCAAATTTAGAGCCCTGTATGATACCTGAATGTGTAAGATAGGGTTCTGATTCATATGAATCATGGTATAAACTTTGCTTGCAATTAAGTGGAAAGCTTGATATATTTTGTAGTGGTGGGAGCGAAAGCGGTGGAAACATTAACCTGTTAGCTCGCGAGGCCACGTAATATGACACTCCCGTTCGCTCGCGACCGTAATGGCGGGAAAATTTGCAAATTAGCAAATTTTTTGCTATATTGCAAATTTTGCTATATTTTCACTTTGAGACAATATTTATGCATAAAACTTACAGGAATTCTTGTTAGTAAACTATTGAATAAAATTATTTTGGTTGCTATAAATTATAATAAAATTCATAAATTACCCTTTATAGCATAGTAGTAGTATATACTTCACTTTTAGTGCCAAAATTACTACTAATTTGAATTCTACACTTTTGTTTTTGGAGAAATTTAAACGAAAATGTTTGGAAATATGTATACTTTTATGTTTTTTGTGTTTCTATTCGTTACTCATACCAAAATATTAAAATATAAAAAAATTAAAATAAAAATAATAATATTTATCTGTATGACATTTCGAACAATATTTCAAAAATATTTTTGTGTGAATTTGAAATAAATACAACGTCAAGTTATTTGAAATATGTAAGAACTATTTTTACTTACATTTTACACTAAAAATAAATGAGAATTGGAAAAATAACACATTTATGACCCAACCGCCAAAATGGGCGTTCCGTATTTCGAAGTACTTTTGGCAATTTACTTTTCACTTTTTATACCACAAATTATATATCTACGTGTTTACTATATTACAAGGAATATAAAAAAAGTATAATACTTTCGTTTTTAGTCCAGACACAAATATAAAATTCTATAAAAAAGCCACCTTCATCAAAGCGACACGTGGAACGCCGAAAGTTCAGAGTGATTTCTTTTTTTTTTCTAAGAAACATTGCCAGGTTATGGTTTAAAATAAAAGAGCATATCTTTGTCTTTGATACTATTATCTATTGCATAGTGTCTTTGGTTTTGTTTTAATTAAAAAAATTCTTTTTCAAAGGGTAGTACTTGTGGTACACATGTGTATCTTGATCGAGCGAGCGTTAGATGTTTATGTCTGATACACATGTGTAGCTTGCTCGACTCTACAGGAAGTATGTCTTTCACTTTTAGTACAATTTTTATTAAAAGTGAAAACTTACTTTAGCTAAAAGTACTGTGTGCATGTTTGGTGAATCCACTGATTTATTTCATTTATAATGGAACAGAACCTTTTTTAGGTTATTGCTTAAGGGTTGATGATATTGTTACGAGCTTGAGGTTCGTGACAATAAAAATTGCCGTTAGAATTACCTAAATTAACACTTTAATTCACTTTACACTAATTAAAGTTAAAAACACTAATAATTAATCACACTGATTCACTTTATTCCGCTCCGAAACTTCGCTTGTCTCGCCAAATCAACACTACTCCGATCGCATCTTGCAGCGCCTATTTATTTAAATTAGCAAAGAAATATCCAGAATGTTCAAGTAAACACGCGCAAGGTACCGAGCGTTCGAGTTTCGACTAGGCGATGTCGGTTGAGTGATTTGTGATGTCATTTTCTCAATGCTCCCCTCGCTCTCGTTCCTGACACTAGATGGCGCTAGTGTATCGTCGACTTGAGCGCGTAACACTGCCCCCTCCTACGACATGCTCGTCCCGAGCATTATCGGCCCCATAATAACGCGCCAAGCGATTCACATGGACGATCTTAGGAGTCCCTCTTGCGCCTTTCTGTAACGGCTCCGCAATGTCAAGGGCTGTCCTATCCCGTGGTGCACCAACATTGTACAATTTCGGTGCTCCTCTACTACGTGTCTGAGGTCCCCGCACGGCCGCACAACTTGTACATGTACGACACCAATCCTCGACATCGTCACGATAATGGACCCAGTAAAACTCTTCTCGGACATTCAGTAGAGTTCGTTTAACTCCCAGATGGACTCTTGAACGACCATTATGGCACAGCTGTAGAACATTCGGCACTTTAGCTTTAGGGACAACCATTTGCAAGCGACAGCTGTCTCTTCGACCATTGTCCCATTTACGGCACAGAACTTCATCCTGAATCAGCAAGCTGTCCCATTGGGCCCAATAGCTTTTCGTGGTTGAACTCATCGCTGAGACGTCCCTCCACTTAGGCTTGGTAGCACGGGTCTTCATCCATCCCAGAATCGGCTTGATGTCCGGATCTTCCTGCTGTGCATGTCGTAGGCTGTCCTTCCACCCGTTGCTGAGGTAGTCTGTCCTGAGCATCCTCACGGATACCACCTCCTTACTCTCTTGCCTACTACAATGGTTGCAATTTTCAGGACAAGGTCTTCATGACAATGCATCTGCGTTGCCGTGAGATTTCCTGCTGCAGTGTCTGATAGTAAAGTCGTATTCCTGCTGCTGCTGGGCGGTGCTGTTAGCCGCACTTCCTTTCTGAGACCGTTCACCTTCCCTTCCTAGGGTGTGCTCAGGGCAGCTGGACCGAAGATGGCCCCTTTCCCCACAGCCATAGCACCTAGGGCTGTATCTTTTATTGTGGTCGCGAACCGTAACTGCTGTAACCTCCCTAGCGTGAGGTGAACGATGATCCTGTCGCCGCCAGGCAGTGTCGTTAGCTGCACTACCCTCTCGAGATCGATCAACTCTCCTTTCCACGGTTCGCTTAGGGCAGCTGATTCGAAGATGGCCTTTTTCCCCACAGCCATAGCACCTAGGGCTGTATCCTTTGTTGCGGTCGCGAACTGTAGCTGCCGCAACCTCCCTGACGCGATGGGAACGATGATCCTGCCGCACGGCTTCCACTTCCAGTGCATGGTCCAAGGCGTTCTTAAGCGTCTCGTGGTGCCCGAGCCTCACAGCAGCTCTGACTTCCAGGTCGCGGATGCCGTCGATGAATGTCTGCACCAGGTTCCCTTCAATGAGCGCAGGTACAGACCGGTATGCTTTCCGCACCAGCTTCTCCACCTCTAGAGCCCACTGCTGCAGGTTTTCGTTGATGCGCTGCACGCGATCTTTAAGCTGCGCACGAAAGACATGTTCCAGGTGAGCGTCGCCATATCTCGCCTCCAATGCCTCAAGGAGTTGCTCATAAGTCACTTCCTCCCCGAGAGCTTCCAGAACTGTTAAGGCCTAGTCGCGCAGGCCTAGTGTGAGAGCAGTCATTGCCTGACTTTTATTCCAGCCGTTCGCCTTCATAACAGCCTCGAACTGGATTTTGTAGGCTGACCAGGAAGAAGTCCCGTCGAACGGTGGCACTTTGAACCCACGTAGCGAAGGTGTAGTAGCTACTACGGGAGCTGTAGTTCCATCACCAAGTTTGAGGTCGTCCAGCGTTTTCTTCACGTCAGCCACCACGTAATCAACCCGATTGTTCACTTGGTCGATTTGGGTTTTAGCTTCCTTGATTTGGGTTTCAGCTTCCGACAGGCGGTTGTCATGTTGAGCAACCCTATCCTTCACCTCCTTTATCTCCTTCCCGAAGGTAGCGTGAAGGTCCTTCATGAGGAGTATCTGCTCTTCCAACCGACGGGCCTCTTCCTCTTGTCCGCCCCGCAGCTGCTCTTCCAATCGGCGTGCCTGTTCCGCCTGCTGGCGAGCCTGTTCCTCCTGTCGGCGAGCCTGTTCATCCTGTGTGCGAGCCTGTACCTCCTGCTGCTCTTTTAACCAACGGGCCTGTTCCTCCAGCATCACCATCAGAGCACCTAAGTCAGGTGCTGCAGATGTAGGAGCTACCGACGAGCCTGCAGCTGGTGGCTGGCCCTCCGACGTCTGCGGCGTTGCACCACCAAATCTTCGTTGGTCCATCTCCTGCTGGCGTTGACTTCGGGTACGGACACCCTCCGTTTCCTCCTTAGGTAAAATCGGCATGATTTTATCCCACTTCTGACACCAATTGTTACGAGCTTGAGGTTCGTGACAATAAAAATTGCCGATAGAATTACCTAAATTAACACTTTAATTCACTTTACACTAATTAAAGTTAAAAACACTAATAATTAATCACACTGATTCACTTTATTCCGCTCCGAAACTTCGCTTGTCTCGCCAAAATCAACACTACTCCGATCGCATCTTGCAGCGCCTATTTATTTAAATTAGCAAAGAAATATCCAGAATGTTCAAGTAAACACGCGCAAGGTACCAAGCGTTCGAGTTTCGACTAGGCGATGTCGGTTGAGTGATTTGTGATGTCACTTTCTCAATGCTCCCCTCGCTCTCGTTCCTGACACTAGATGGCGCTAGTGTATCGTCGACTTGAGCGCGTAACAATATACTATTATCCTTAGACCATAGGTAACCAAATAGAATGGATTATACCTGCAAGGCACTGACAACCTCGGCGTCATTTCTCTCTGGGAAATCAGACACAAACTCAACACGGTTCTCTCGACGTTCACAGTCAAACAGGTGGTCGTACATCGCTGCAATAGGGATCAGTTGTTGACTCATCTGCATCAGCCTGTACAGGTTTGGCTGGAAAATAGAAACATAAATATTCACTTTAAAAATTAAGTTTATAAAAGAGGTATGTCATACACAAAATTCAAATGTTGAAATATTTATCTAATATATAAAAATTAATTTTAATTAGTTCGTATTTTATTTCATCAGATTACCGTTACAACTTTGTCAGCTAAGCTATAAGCACTTGCCAGAAGTTTATAGGCATAGTACAATTAACTTACAGTAGCTGGCGCCCGTATCGTACTGACACATTTATTTGAAAGTTATCTAATTCAATTTCAATTAATGTATTATCACTATTATTAAACATACTATATCTTTTCCAAATTTAAAACCATATTTCAGCATATATGTCTTCCATGGCAGCAACGCGCGAAGTACCAGCTAAAAATTACGTGCCACATTGTTTGCCACAATGAACTCCTAAGCTACTAAACTGATTTCAATGCTTTCTAAATGTTTATTGCTTGCTCGAATTTGAGAGATAGGATAGTTTTTATCCTGATAAGTGACTCTCAATATTTTATTTTAAAATTAAAGATTTTTTATAGGACAAAGGGTCATTGTAACAGGCAGAACTTTTTTTTTATAGCAAAGGGAAAAAACGAGCAAACGGCTCACCTGATGGTAAGTGATTACCGCCGCCCATGAACACTGCAACACCAGGGGAATTGCAGATGCGTTGCTGGCTTTTAAAAAAGGAGTAGGCTCGTTTCTTGACTTCGTATCGGTCTCTTGAAGTCGTATCGGTTCGGAAAAATCTCTGGTGGTAGTCGATTCCACAAGGAAGTTGTGCGAGGAAGAAAACTTCTTTTAAACCACACGGTGGTAGACCGCCAGTCATCCAGATGGTATGGATGGTATTGCGAGTTTTGTCGCGATGTGCGACGGTGAAATTGTGCGGCTGGAATTAGAGGCTGTAATTCCTCAGAGCACTCCCCGTGGTAGATGCGATAAAACACGCAAAGGGATGCAATATCTCTTCGCAGCGCCAGTGAGTCATGCCGATCGGAAAGATCTCGGTCGTCGACGATTCGAGCCGCTCTGCGCTGGATGCTGTCAAGTGGAAGGAGTTGGTACTGGGGAGCCCCAGCCCAGAGATGGGAACAGTATTCCATGTGCGGCCGAACCTGCGCCTTGTAAAGTTGCAGGCGGTGTGCCGGCATGAAATACTGTCCCGCTCTGCTGACCACGCCAAGCTTTTTAGAGGCCAATTTGGCTTTCTCTTCCAAGTGACCACGAAACTGCACGTCAGTCGAAATGTCGACGCCGAGGATTCCGATACAGGCTGAGGCAACAGGGGCAGTGCCTTGAATCTGAGGAGATACGACGAAGGGGTTCTTTTTTTGTGTTTTCTGGGGATGAAACTGGACTAGATTTAGTCGCCCCCAGTCCGAGACTTTGTTCAAGAAAGTTTCGACTTCAGACACAAGTTTGTCCCGGTACTTAGCGACGTTTTCCCGAAAAATACTGGCACGGCCGGTGTATAAAGCATTACCAGTGCTGTCGTCTGCATAGCAAAGAATATTACCGGTTTGCAACATGTCATTGACATGCAGAAGAAACAGCGTTGGTGATAGCACGCAGCCTTGTGGGACGCCCGGCTTGTAATCGGAGCATGCACCGTCTACTATGACCGTGATGCTCCGATCAGCAAGAAACTGGTGATCCAACTGCACAATTTCTCGGGAAGCCCATAGGAAGGAAGCTTCATAAGAAGCGCTTTGTGCCAAACCAGATCGATGTCCAAAGTAACGGCCAACGCCTCCCCCTTGGACTCTACTGCGTCCGCCCATTTATGAGTTAGGTAACCCAGAAGATCACCAGCCGAGCGACCGCGACGGAAACCGTATTGGAGTCACTAATCATCTGGTGATCTTGAAGGTACCGCATGAGCTGGCTGTTAATAATGGATTCCATTATTTTAGAGAACAAGGAGTTGTTGGACGGATTGTAGTTGGACGGATCAGAGCGGTTCCCTTTTTTAGGGATTTTGAGGAATACCGGAAAAGACGCGTTAAAACCGGTGTCAACTTCGGACCACACGTCTTCAGCACAATAGGAGGTACGCCATCCGGCCCACTCAACTTGTTGACGTCCAGGGAGAGGAGTGCTTCGCGCACTGAGCGTTGGTTAAAAAGGACATCCTGCATGGAGCACTCACTCCGCGGGATGGTCAGCGGTGTGGTCCCCTCGTCATCAAGAGTCGAGATGGACGCAAAGAGAGAGCCCAGGAGGTCGGCTTTGTCCTTTGCGGTATGGGCCAGTGAGTCGTCCTCCCTGTGCTGAGATGGGAGAGATGGCTGACAGAAGTTCCCTTGGACAGTCTTGGCGAGAGATCAGAATGCATGTGTCCCGAAGGAAGACGAACTAGTTTCTCGCCAATTCTGCCGATGTGCTCTGAATTTGCCTTGACAATGACACTTTTGAAGGACCTGGAGGCAGAATTGTACTTCTTTTTAAGAGCGCTGGTATTTGCATCCCGAGACATCGATGCGCGAGCCCAGGCCTGGTAGCACTCCTGCTTATGACGTAGTGCAATTTTGCAGGAGCGACCAAACCAAGGCCGTCACCGATAAGTACCACAGATGATGGAATAAAAAGTTCCATTCCCTGTAGCACCACATCAGTGACAGAATCAGCAACAACGCTGGGATCATCCGGCGAGAAGCAAACGCGCCTCCAAGGGTAGAATGCAAAAAAGATCGCATCCCGTCCCAATCTGCAATGACTAACACGGCGGCAACCTGCAGTACGGAACCGTGATGAGAGGAGCCAAGAGGGGCATCGACGGAGACCTGATATCCGTCCGGAGAGGTCAGCAGAAGGTCCAACAGGAAAGGTACATGGTCTTCCACATCTGGGATCCGCGTAGGCGAGGTAACCAGTTGTGTGGGAACATATGCCAAGCAAAGTCATAAACAGATCTACCCGCATGATCGGTTAAACGAGAACCAAGCCATTCAGTGTGGTGGGAGTTAAAATCACCAAGTATCACAATCTCTGCGGATGGGATCTGTTTTAGCACGGAGTCTGTAGCCATCTGCCATTTCTAGATGGTAGCAGACGGCGTTAAGGTTTGTATGAAGTCCCCTGATGTTGCAGAAATTCACAGATAGCGTGGCAGGGATTACCTTAGACTTATTGCTGCGTTTGTCCCGAGCAGGTTTAGTATCGAGCGGAATTTTGCCGCCCCCCCTAGAATATGCGGGGCAGCCTGAGCGCCCACGCTCAGGAGTGGAGTAGCTTGGTCGTGAATGCTCAGCGAGGGATTCTCCAGGGGTGCTGGTACCCACCTGGGGGTGGTCTTGCACTGAATTCCGCTACCATGTTGATGGGGGGGGGTTGAATTTGGGCCTCCGGCACCTGCACTCACCAGACAAAACACAGAACCAAAGCAAGCAAGTCTGCCTGCCAACCTAGGTATGTACTAAAAACATGTAGTTAGATCACAGAATCAAAGTCAGTTTCTTTCATTCTAATGTGGTAGGGAACAACTAAATCGTCTCCATTTCAAATTTAGGATGACATTCGCTAGCTTTTTATTGTTATAAAAAATATTATATGCCAATGATTTGTGAGTTTGGCAAATGGATGATATGGGATTAAAAATTATGTTTTTACCTTAAATCCATGTAAATCCCTTGCCAGTGTAGACAAATTCAAATTATGTATAATAACAAGCAAACCGCCCGTAGTACACATAACCATTTGTCTTGCATCTGGTGATAGTCTGCACCGCATTAAGCCTGAAGCATGAAACACTCTATGGTGGACCACATTGTACTCTGTATAAGAATTTATATCCCAAGTATATATACTTCCATCTAGCCCTGATGTAACTAGAAGCTTGTCTTTAACTGAGAACTCTATGTTCTTCACCCAATTAGAGTGGCCAAGAAGTGAACAGATTTTCTTTTTTAAATTTCTTATGTCCCAAAGTGCTATGGTGGCATCGTCTGAGCATGTTGCAAACATTCTACCATCCAAGAATCTGAAACATAAATATGGGTTTCTTGGACATCTAATACTGATCAAATATTTTATAAAAAGAATCCCTTATTTTCAACCGACTTCACAAAAGGAGGAGGTTCTCAATTTGACTGTATTTTTTTAACATGTTTGTTACCTCAGAACTTTTTCTAGGCAAACCAATTTTGATGATTATATTTTTTTTATCTGAGAGCTGGTGCTTCTCATGTGGTCCCACATAAATTTGATCAAGATCTGATCAGCAGTTTTTGAGTTATCCTTAATAATATGTATTTAATTGACTTTTCACTATATTGATGTTCTCATTTTATTTATATTGCAGTTTGCTCCCTTGCTCTTAGTCCACTAATGATCTACATCTACCTACCTTTATTGCCTATGAGTGCATCTTGGTCCACCCATCATCTTACTATTATTACTGCAGCTAATAATGCATGCACTGCTTTGTCATGGTCTGAAGGCCATAGAGAGCCAGTATAATAACAGGCTGTGTGGCATTCCATGTTAGCCCTGAGAGGTAACAACACATCTGTTATAATGCCTCTTGCATCTTGATTTTTTCAGGAAATAAGAGTCAATGGAGCTCTACACTCTATGAAGAATCAGAATGTGTCAAAAGGGCACGTACGGTAATTCATAATGCTGTGTTAATCCCTACTTTAATGTATGGTAGTGAAAGTTGAGTGTGGCAGAAGAAGCACAAAGGTAGAATAATTGCTGTAGAAATGTGGTCTTAAAGGAGTATGCTAGAGTTGAATCTGAATGACAGGGTGAGAAATTGTGTGATAAGAGAAGTGTGGTTTGCAAGATGATGTTGTGACCAGGAATAAGAAAGGAATGCTTCGGTAGTTTGGCCATGAAGAAAGAATGAATTAGGAAAGAGTGACAAAGCAAATTTATATGGCAGATGTAAGTAGCAGAGTTGGGAAGGGACGCCCTACATCAAAGTTTATCGATCATATTTGCGATATTTTGAAAATGGGCCACATTAGGAGTACCCTTAACTGTTGAGTATGTATGCATAGATATATGGATGTAAAGGAGGCGAGAGAGGTATGTCAGGATCATGCCAAATGGAAGTCTCTAGTCTCTGCCTACCCCTCTGGGTGACAGGCATGAGTGTTTATTATTATGCTTCTTGACTTGTAGTTGGTTGCAAGTATACATTGCAGCAATACTGACTTTAAATCTAGTGGACTGTTAAGTTTGTTTGTAATTTCACTACTATAAAACTTTATATATATATATATATATATATATATATATATATATATATATATATATATATATATATATATATGTATATATATATATATATATATATATATATATATATATATCTATATATCTTCGTTTTTAGTATTGATATTAGCATTATTAGATTTATAGTCTTTAGATAACAATATAATATGTTATCTAAGTCATAATTTTTTCTTTTTAATCATAAGAATATTCTTTAATACTTACTTCACACAGTTAACACAATCCGAGTGTGCTCCATTAACAGAATGAATTCTTCTATGTGTAAGTGGATCAAATATTTGAATGGATTTTTTTTCACAAGCTGCCACTAACAAGGACCTGAAATATATAAAAGGAACACAAATATAGACTAATCAAGTAAATTGTCATTTGACTTAAATAAAGCTTTTCCCTGAGTACCTTGCATAGATTTTGTTATCCTTATTTTCAACCTTTTACCTTAAGACTGTGCTGAGCAAAATAATTCAAAATGGTAGTCACGGTTGCCGATAAATTCAATATTATTATGAGAACTAATAACTCCACTTGTGCAATTTTCACACACATTAATAAGACAATAGCAATTAACTATATGTGGGTCACAAGACAGGGAATGGGTTAAAATAAAATTTATGATAGACATACCATAAATATGTAGTATGTTTACAGTATTTACACAAAAAAATGTAAAGTTCAAAAAACAAAACTATGTAAAGGTGGTCAAAACCTAAAAGTGGTATGGGAGTTCAGTTGACTTCTGATAAGCAATGTGTAGGTTTAATGTTTTGAAATGTCACCTGGTACTTTAAATATGTATATTTTTAAGAGCATCTCAAATCTGCTATATAACTTTGAAAAGTAGCATTTCTATTGGATGTTTTTGGTGTTTTTATGATTATCTTATTTAATAAATATAATATATTGATGTGATCTATTTATACGTGGTAGAGCCATGCTGCAGCTATATTAGTAGTATAGTTGTAGCACGAATGGGTCGGCTCGACCGGGGAAGGACCACGCTCTCACAGAACACCAGCGTGAAATAATAGCTTGCTAATTTGTTTTTTTATAATGCACTTTCTTTATTTAAGTATCATATACAAATATATGATAATTTATATGTAGTCCCAAGTAGACAAGCTTGAAGGACAAGCTCCTTTACAATTACAATTTAAAATTACTCCTCTACAATTAACAATAAAATATTTTTTACATATTGTAAACTTTAATTTAAAGTTATAGCCTATATGGTATAACTATAAATCCAAGTAAGTCTCAAGCAAAAATAGTAAGTAGCAGATATACTAGTAGCTTAATTGGTAATGCACCCTGGCAGGGTGATTATCAATGGTACATCAATTCCTTATACTGAATCTGTGAAGAACTTGGGCTTAATTATTGACAATAGGTTGTCATGGGGTCCTCACATAACGGACTTAGGTAGAAAAGTTTATTATGCTTTCCACTCATTAAAATGTCTTCAAAGTTTTTTACCCTTACCAACAAAAATCTCTCTTGTTCAAACTCTTATTTTGCCTATCTTAGATTACGCTGATGTCTGTTTTTTGGATGCCACAGAGGAGCAATTAAACAAACTTGAGCGATTACATAACCTTTGCATTCGGTATATTTTCGGACTCAAGAAGTTTGACCACGTCTCTAAATATAGAAAGCAACTCAAGTGGCTCCCACGCAGGAACATCGTATCCTTTGTCTCCTTTTTAACATCCTACATAGCCCAAATTTCCCTACATACCTCCGAAATCGATTTACCTTTCTTAAATCCCCAGATACAGTTTGTAGATCTCACCTTAAAACTCTCTTAAAATTCCCATCCTTTAATACTCATTCATATTCCCGTTCATTCTCCGTACAAGCAAAGACTCTGGAATTCGCTTCCTACTCACATTCGAGAAATCAAAACAGTGACATTGTTCAAAAAACGAGTGAAAGAACTTTATTTATCGCTGTCTTCTATGTAAGTCTCAAATCTCTGATATTTACTATACTGTTACAAATATATGCATGTATGTATGTATGTGTGTATATATGTTTATATATTTAATCATGACTTTATATTATATTAAGTATTCATGTACATATTAATGTTTGTTTAAATATGAATATATTCATGTATTTTTATATATATATAAGTATTTGAGCTGACATATATACCTATTTATTTTATCCCCATGAGTGATGCAAACAGAAAAATGTCTTGTATAATAACAAAGTGCACACCTTATAATCATTTATTAATCATATGTGTTTGAAACTGGCCTACTGGAAGAAATTTCATTGTGAGATAAGTAGAGCCTTTGTACAAACTTTTTATCATGATGTGTCCTCTCCCTTACTAGTGTGTACATAAATTGTGAAATAAATAATATATAATATATATATATATTCCACTCTTGGGCGCAGGCCTCTGCTTGTTTATGAGAGGGTTTTAGGGCAAGGAATTGTCTGCCGCGATGCCCCAATGCGTGTTGGCAAACTTCACATGTCTTCAAAATTTTTCCACCGAGCATGTGGTAAATCAGCACTTAAAATTGCAATTAATAATGTCATTGGTGCCGGCAGGGATCGAACCCGGAAACTAAATTTAATTGCAATAAAATATGGCAGCTGTACCGCTTTTGAACCCAATAAAGAAATTAAAAAAAAAAAACAGGTTTTAAGTTGCAGTTTAGTGAACAGATTGCTGAAATCAATATTAATATTCCATAATTCCGAATTAAAATTGTACAATCATTGTTAATTTTTTGTTTAATCATTGGTGACAAATGAACATACAGTCTACCTAATGGAAAGCGGATGTTGTGGCCCATAGACATTTACATTTATTCTCAATTAAGAATTAAAATGCAGATATGTTGTCACCCATGAGATCCAGCAAAAAATGTGACTAAGATGGAATGCCTTATTTCCAGTAAAAAAGGGTCTCCGGTTCTCTACACACACCATACGTAATATAATAGCATTAAGATGCTATGTTACGCTGGTATTCTGTGTTCCTTCCCTGGTCAAGCCGACCTATTCATACTATAACCATAATATAGCCGCTGTAGCTCTACCACATGTAAAATATTTATATTGATGATAAAATTGTGTCTACTATATTCTTGGTTCCATTATTTATTATTAATTAGGTACTTTTCATAAAACCCAACCAAATAGGATGGTGGTAACCATGCAAATAACATCTCAGTATTCTGATGTATTCTCATATGCTGTAGCAAAATCTCTCTCGGGTCTCATTACTTCTTACACAATTTGTAGATTTTTTATAAGAGAGGAGCAAACGAACATATGGCTTACAAGATGGTAAGTGACTACCGCCGCCCATAAACAACTGCAACACCAGGGCAGTAGCAGGTGCGTTGCTGGCCTTTTAGAAAGAAGTAAGCTCTTTTTAAGGTTCTGTAGACAAATGGCAAAAAACGGAACCCTTACGGATTCGTCCCATGTCACTTTTTTCCGAAACTATAAGAACTATGCTGGTGAAACTTGGTGAGTAGATGTATTCTATGAACTGCATTGCGATTTTTACACAAAAATAGAAAAAAAGCAATAAATTTTGGGGGTTCCCCATACTTAGAACTGAAACTCAAATTTTTTTTTTCCATCAATCCCATACGTGTGGGATACCCATATATGGGTAGGTCTTCAAAAATGACACTGAGATTTTTATATAATTTTTTTCTAAACTGATAAGTTTGCGCGAGAGACACTTCTAAAGTGGTGAAATGTGTGTCCTCCCCCCCCTGTAGCTTCTAAAATAAGAGAATGATAAAACTAAAAAATATAATGCATATGCATCGGCTCAGGTTGAGATAAAAGAACACATATTGGCCATGAATGATCTGGTAAAGTCATGTAAATACAATGAGGAGCGCTTTGACTCCTTAATAAAACATCAGAGTGAGAATGAGCGCTCCAGACCATTTTCAATGGGGACAATATGTGTAAATAGTAGTGACTCCTTATTGTCACCCACACTCTATGACAGTGCCATAACAAAGAATAAAAACTTAAAAAGTAATTTAAATATTAAAAAACATGAAGTTATTATGAAGAGAGAGAGAAGGCTTGAAGTATGTTTTGATGGAAGCCTTCAAGCCGCTGAAGAAGATTGGTCAGTTTTTACCATCAGTAAAGTGTAATGTCCCTCTGCAAGATGCAGGAGTGTACAAGCTTGATTGTGAATGTGGTCTCTCCTACATAGGACAAACTAAAAGATCAATAAAAACCCACGTTAAAGAACATATAGCTGATGTGAGGAATCGACGCTCCAGGAACTCTGCAGTCTGTGAACATGTACAGGATCGCCCCCGTCACTACATCAGATTTGATAGACCACAAATCCTCGCTAAAGAACACCGATTCCTTCCAAGGAGATTCGCGAGGCTATTGAAATCAAAAAACATCCTAATTTCAATAGAGAAGATGGCTGGGTGCTACCATCTGCTTGGGATCCTATAGTAAATAAAATTAAATCCCAACCCAAGCATACAACTGCAAGACTTCAAGATACCATAAGTTCATACTGCATAGATCGGAACAAAAGTAAAATTTTAATCTGTGGTAACCGCAGTTAACTATGACATATGGACGTTGAACATCTCAGTCCCGCCCGTGACCATGAGTGCTGTAAAGCGTTCGAAACGTCGGGTATTTAAAAAGTTAAAAATACGCGATAAATTCCGTAAAAACTAGTATTATTTCAATGTGTAGTGTTCGCGTAAATATAAGAAATCATTACATTAATAATTCTTGTTGGGAGAAGAGGCAATGTAAACAAAAATCAATTATTAAAATATATTGATTACCTCAATACTTTAAATGTACATAAAATTATCTTGTTTACATTGCCTTACATACAGGGTTGGCCACAGGAGAATAAAATAGGATATGATTTAAATTTATTAATGAATAATTTGTCATGCAACAATAATTTAAATTTGACATTTAATTGTAATAATTATACTAATAGCATTAATTTAATAGACATTAATAATTTAATTAAGAAATTTTTGACTACAGATAGGTATTACCTATCCAAATATAATTTAAGACAGATAGCAAATGTGCTATCATACTATTTATATATTAACTCAGCCAAGGACTTGGCTACCCAGACATCTGCTCCTATTGAGCAGCATAATGATGTGACATGCAATTTGGAATCCATTCCAAGTAATTTAAATTAGAAAATGAGACAATAGAGGTAATCTCTAGCAGTTATAATAATTTAAATAATTTAGAATGTAGCTTACAAATCCTTAATAGTTGCAATTGTATAACTCCACAAAATGATAATAAAAACTGTTTACCTTAAAATATACAATGTGCTAGAAATTGAATTGTTCTTAAATAGCAACAATATTCATATTTTATGTATTACTGAACATTGGTTAAAAACTCATAATTTAATGTTTAACTTCAGTAATCACCAGGTGTTCAGTTCTTTCAATAGTTTCTGTATTGAAAGAACTGACCACCTGGTTTTAAGAGGTGGCTCCTTAATTTTAGTTAGTAAATTATTATCATGTAAAGAATGTAAAGATATTGTCAGCCTCTCTGTTGAGCGAACTGTAGAAATAGCATGTGTTGAGTTTGAGCACCTCATTGTTGTGAGCGTTTACAGACCCCCATGTTCTTTATATCTTTTGAAAAAATTTTGGAGGAAGTTTTTCTAAGCTTAATAAACAGAATAAATCTGTTGTAATATGTGGAGACTTTAATATCAATCTCCTAGAAGCTTCCTCCACCAATATTAAATTAAGATCATTGTTTAAATCTAATGGTCTTTTTAATTTATTTTTGGAGCCAACACATATTTCTGAATCTAGTGCAACATGTATAGATAACATTTTTACAAATGTTAAGCCATTCAATAAATGTATTATTCAAAAATTGAGCTCTGATCACTGTGGACAATTAGTTTTGTTACCTTATGTTCACAAAAAAGCAAGTAAATAAAAAAGTAGTGTTTGTTCCAATAAATGCACGTCGCTTGGAGAAGTTTAGAAGTAACATAGTAAAAAAACTTCCATCACTTTCGTACCAAAATAATCCAGATTTTTTGTATGGAACATTATTTAACCTTATTTGCAATGAATTTAATAATACTTTTACTTCTAAAACATTCTCCTTGAACAATCGCAAGGCATTTAATGAGTGGGCGACAGTAGGAGTCCATAAGAGTAGACAAAGGTTATATGAACTTTACAATGAAAGGTCATATAATCCTAACGTCGAATTTAGGGAATATGTAAAAAAATATTCCAAAATATTTAAAAGAGTGTGCTCCATAGCCAAGTCATTGTATTTGAGCAACAAAATAAAGATGGCTTCTAATAAAATTAAAATTTAATGGAGTATAATTAATAGTGAAATTGGGAAGGTTAGCTCTCGCAATTCGAACTATCAGTTAAGTTTTAACAATAAATTAATTGAATCAGATCAGTACGTTGCAATGGTTTTCGAGAAATATTTTACTGATATTCCTATCTTAACCACTAAGTCACTGAATTCTTCTCCTGCCGTCGCCGAATCATTACTTAAACAAAATGTAAATGCGTGTACAAAAAATTTTTACATTTCATAAAGTGTCATCAAAAAATATTCTAAAATATTTTAAGACTATTGATATTAAGAAAACCGCCGATCTGTGGGGGATTTCCGTTAAAGTTATTGCGTCTATAATAGATGCAATCGCACCTCAACTATCTATTATTTTTAATACTAGTATCAAATCTAGTGTGTTTCCTGATTTAATGAAGCATAGTAAAGTAATACCTTTATTTAAATCTGGCAGTACATTGGACCCCGCTAATTTTAGACCTATTTCTATACTGCCAACACTTAGTAAAATTTTTCAAAAAATTATTCTTGATCAAATGTTAAATTTTTTTAATGTAAATAATTTACTTCATAAAAATCAATTCGGTTTCACAAGGGGTCGCTCAACAACTGATGCTGGTGTTGAGCTTATTAAATATATCTTTAATGCATGGGAGAATTCACAGGATGCTTAGGGTATATTCTGTGACCTATCCAAGGCCTTCGATTGTTGTGATTCGATTCGATGTGAAACATTAATCAGGAAACTTCAACACTACGGTGTAAGAAGTGATGCTCTTAAATTAATTATTTCATATTTAAGTGACAGAACGCAAAAAGTTGTAATTAATAGTATGAGTTCTTCCGGGTCGACTGTACAAATGGGCGTGCCTCAGAGCTCAATTCTCGGCCCCTTTCTGTTTCTTGTATATATTAATGACTTACCTTACATAGTAGGGGATAACCATGATATAGTATTATTTGCTGATGATACTTCATTAATTTTCAAATTAAAACGACAGCATACACACACTACATATATACATATATATATATATATATATATATATATATATATATACATGAATACATACATACATGTATACACACATACACATACATGTACACACAGTACACATACATATACACACATACACTATATATGGGAAACACATATATACATACATATATCCTCAAATATATACCACTAACAATAACATAAAGCAAATAAATACAAAACTACATACATCACATAATTTATCCTAATGATTTTCGAACGATTGAGACATAGTAATGCTCTTTAAGAAGTCGCTAAAGACTACAATAGTCTGAGCTTCGCGTAAATACAAAGGTAGGGCATTCCAGAGCTTAATAGACTGTACAGTAAAAGATTTATTAAAGAAAGATGTATTGTGAGTTGGTACCGTTGAATGTACACAAGAATAAACATAGTTTTGCAAAAATAAGTGATATTCATTCTGTAAATACTAGGAACAGACACAAGCTAGTAGTACCAGTTACTCGACTCCACCGAGTCAGCAATTCATTCTTGGGGCGATGATTATACGCTTCTACAACAAAATCCCAGAAAATATACAAAATTTGTCATACGCAAAGTTCAAAAATTTTAACTAAGTTTGTATAAAAAGGGTTATTATAATATTAAGGAATTTATGGATGATAGTAACCCCTGGGAAGGGTGATCGCTACCAAGCTATTTCTAATTTGTGTTGTGTTGTTAATTGTAAACATGATTGTAAGCTAATATTTGAAAAAAAAAAATAGTCCCGCTGGGTTTCTTGCTGGTTCTTCCCAGGACAGAGGTTTTTTTTGCGAACCAGTGGTAAATGAAAAAATTGACTTTCAATAAGTATTGCTTATAATCTACATTGAATAAAAAAGTTTCTGTTTCTGTTTCTATATGATGTACATTACCATGTAAACTTGGTACGTAAACGAAAATAGGTTCGAACGAGATCTAGTAAGTAATTTTTTTAATATGTCATAAATTGTAAAAAAACACTATTATTAAGACATTAATCAAAGTTACAATGAAATACAAGAATTTTTATATTATGTTACTTGCTGCTACGGATCCCTTCATGGGCGAGTCCGACTCGCACTTTGCAGCTGTTACTTTGAAGGTCTCTAAGTCGTATTGGTGTGGAAAAATTACCAGTGGTAAGCTATTCCACAAACAGATTGTACGCAGAAGAACACTCCTAGTGAAACGTACAGTGGTATACCACCAAGCAACCACATGGTGTGGATGGTATCATGATTTGCCATGATGTGCGTTTTTTAAATTTAGCAGCTGGGATTAATCCAAACAATACCTCAGAGCACTCCCCGTGGTAGATGCGAAAGAAAATGCATAGGGATTCAACATCTCTTCACAGTCAGCATATCATTCAGTTTGTCAAGCAAGACTACAAGAAGAACATACTACTGAGAGCCATGTCAAAAGACCAGCCTATAGTAACAATATTAAAAGAATTCAACATGAAGGACTTAATTTTTGCTTTTTAACGATCAACAAAACTTCACACTTCACAAATCAGAGTTGATTTGAAAGTAATAGAGCAAGTTACTTTTGAAATGCAAATAAGTTCAAGATTTGGATATCCTGTGCTGTGGAATGGATAAAGAGGAAAATGTATTTCATGAAATGTCTGAGGAAGAGATTATAGGCTGAAGAGAATGGTGCACCCTACAATGAACTTTTAATTTTGAGTAGACTTAGAGACAAAGCTTTAGTCTCGCATCTTAACATAAAACAAAAGATAATTTATGAATATTTTCATGCTTCATAAATTTATTGGTTCAAATTAGTTAATATGTATTAACATCAACATTAATAATGTTAATTTTATAATAAACACTATGCTATTTATTGTTTAATTTACGAAATTCCATATTGCATGATATATAGTACATACATACATATAGAATCTTACCACTTTGATGAAGGTGCTCTTTATCAAAAGATTATGTACTACTGAGAAGCTATGACAGTACACTGTCTAACACACTGCCTTGCAAAATGTTTGTCGGATTACCTTGGATCTACTATGTAGTAAAAGAGCAGCTGTTAATTGAGGGTTGATTTAATTCTACCACTAAACTGGATAGTTTTGTGGAAATTTCTAGCTGTCATGGTGCTATCTATAAAGCGCAATGTAGCACATTTTCACTTAGCCTATAGTATAAGTGATGTTTTATATTTATGAACTCAATTGCAGAGAAACAGTTAATAAAGCAACATTGCTGTAATATACTCAGCAAGGTGTTGAACAATAACATTGCAGTAAAATATTACTGGCAAAATTGCCGAGCTTAGCTATGTCACATTTGTACACTGTGTTCATCTATTTAGTTTCCTTTAATTATTATATCCCCAACAAATAGTTGTAGCAATACTTCGAAATAGGTGTAATAGGTAATTTAAAATTGTAACTTCTTACCCTTCCGGAGAGAACTCAAGGTTAAACACCCCTCCGGTAGGAACATCATTAGCCTGTTCACAGTCCCAAGAAGCAATGGGCTTCATTCCGCAATAAAGACTTCTTGCTATAGCATTCTCTGCTCCTACAGGGTTTTGAAACCCCGTCTCTCGTCTTATTAGTCTATAAGGGCTGAAAGCTGAATGTTTGGCCATAAAAACTGGGGTGTAATTGCTTCCCATTTTTCTGATAACGTGAGCTGAATTAAAAGTAAAGTTAAATTCTCTTAAAAATTAAGTACTTCCCTTAACAGTTTTCGATAAATGCATTGTTTATCTCTGGCATTGCAATCTTTACTATTTTTATTTTGATAATCTAAACCCACTAGGTACGTACGTAAATAAACTACTAAGAAATAAAAATTTTATGTCTTAACAGATTATGTACATTTTATATATCTGGATGTCTTTTTTTGTTAAAAATCGAAAAGCATGAACAAGAATTTCCGTACCTATGGTACCTATACACTCTTATCTATACTCTATGAACAAGAAGACAATAGGCGCGTTTGGCAGAAAAAAGCGCTAGCAAGCGCTTGTAAGCAAAATGGCGATCGTAAGCGGTAAGCGCTGTCAAATCGTAAGTAGCTATTTTCCTCCAGGACACGATGTTAGTTTTAACCGGGGAATCTAACCTAATTTAAATATATGTTTGTAAAGTATTCATATTAAAAACTTACCAATCATGAATTTTTAATAGCATGTATATGTTTATTCATGTCATTATATTACTTAAAACTAATATTGCACAAAACAACTTATAAACTCTACTTCAAAACAAACAAATTAAATAAGCAAAATGGCGGATTGTCTGCGAAAAAAGCACTAGCAAGCGCTTACAAGCGCTAAAATAGTTTTCGACCAGGACACGATTGCTACTTCAGTAGCGCTGACACAATCCGCCATTTTGCTTATTTAATTTGTTTGTTTTGAAGTAGAAATTATAAGTTGTTTTGTGCAATATTAGTTTTAAGTAATATAATGACATGAATAGACATATACATGTTATTAAAAATTCATGATTGGTAAGTTTTAATATGAATACTTTACAAACATATATTTAAATTAGGTTAGATTCCCCGGTTAAAACTAACATCGTGTCCTGGAGGAAAATAGCTACTTACGATTTGACAGCGCTTACCGCTTACGATCGCCATTTTGCTTACAAGCGCTTGCTAGCGCTTTTTTCTGCCAAACGCACCCAATAGTTGTTGTTACGATTTGCCAATCATCTAACGTTTTAGACTATACAGCCTAGTCTGATTTGTATATTGTCCACAAAACTTAAAAAATACTGATCTGAAATGCTGATGATAAATAATATTACAAATTGACACTTTGCAATGTGATGCATCAGTATATTGTAAAGTTTTATTAATAAAATACACGTAGAATATACTGTATGGTCAAAGACACTTAACTGCTGTATTTATAAGCCACACTCAACCGATTATAATCCGGAAATAATATATAAGTCGAGATTTATGGAGTATAGAGGTAAGGAGTACAAACTCTATAAAAAAGTGTCCGTAGGAAAGCGCTAAATAAGGGTGGCGCCACTGTAGCTATTACAATAATTATTTTATTTCTTTCGAAATTTTTATTTTCAAAATCACTCTCAACGTAAAATACGGAAATTTATCATACCCTGTATCTACTCGAGCGCTGTTGTGGAAAGTTTTTGAACTGTTACGGTGTGTTAATTTATTGCTTACGTATGGACACATTTTCAACTATTCTCCTATAGGAGATTGTCCTCCTTACCTCTATACTCGATGTCCAGATTGTTGAAGTTTGTCAATCGAGACTTTTGGCGGCAACTTGGCCCTCGACGGATTGCCGCTCCTGTTTTGTCGCTTGAATAATGGTTTGAAGTGGATTTTGATTCGTAAAAGTGATGCGATTTTGTGAAGTGTCTGCGAGTGTGAACTATTAGAGAAAACGACGAAATAAGTGTTTTCATATTGATGTAAACCTGAAGTTAACTTGATCGATTGGACGCCTTATAAACTTGAGTGGTTGTCACCATCAACAGTCCGCTGTGTTGAGCTATCGTCAAAATCACCGAAAAGCTTCGCAATGTGACGCATTGTAATGAAAGAAATGATAGGCTCAGAAGGGCTAGAAGCCAGAGCCGTAAGGCCAGTTAATAAAAAAAAGTTTTGTGAATCGATTTCTGTGTTCCGTTCTAGTATCAGACCATAATATAAAGATACTCTATGTATCAGACTTTATATGTAGTTATCGGGAGTTTTGGCGGGAACTTGGCCGTAGACAGATTATCGCTCCTGTTTTGTCGCTTGAATAATGGTTTGAAGTGAATTTTGATTTGAAAAATGATGCGATTTTGTGAATTAAGTGACCGCGCGTGTGAACTATTAGAGAAAACGACGAAACAAGTGCTTTGATGTCGATATAAACCTCAAGTTATTTTGATCGCTTGGGCCCCTTATGAACTTGAGTGGCTGTCATCATCAACTGTCCGCTGGGTTCAGCTGTCGTCAAAATCGCCCAAGGGCTTCGCAATGTGACGCATCAGCATATTGAAGAAAAAGAATGTAAAAATGAAGATTCCGAAAGAAATGATAGGATCAGAAGGGCTAGAACCCAGAGCCATAAACCCGTAAGGCCAGTTAATAGAAAAATGTAGTTATTATCGCTACTGTAGCTTGCTAGATATTTATTTATCTATGGTTATCGCATAGATAAGAGTGTATATACCGTAGACCTTAGAGCATACATTACATGGAGGGAGCACTGTGTGAGCAGAAAGCGTTATCGGCGTAAGAGAGAGACTGAGTTTAGGGGTAGAGTCTGTCTCTCTCGCACAGTCACTGTCATTGGCTGTTTCATTGGGCATGCGCTCGCGCGATGCAACGGTGGAAAACACGCCAGCCAATCAGAAGCATGTGCGAGAGAGACAGACTCTACCTAAACTCAGTCTCTCTCTACGCCGATAACGCTTTCTGCTCACACAGTGCTCCCTCCATGTAATGTATGCTCTAAGGTCTACGGTATATACACTCTTATCTATGCGATAACCATAGATAAATAAATATATAGCAAGCTACAGTATATAGCGATAATAACTACATTTTTTTATTAACTGGCCTTACGGGTTTATGGCTCTGGGTTCTAGCCCTTCTGATCCTATCATTTCTTTCGGAATCTTCATTTTTACATTCTTTTTCTTCAATATGCTGATGCGTCACATTGCGAAGCCCTTGGGCGATTTTGACGACAGCTGAACCCAGCGGACAGTTGATGATGACAGCCACTCAAGTTCATAAGGGGCCCAAGCGATCAAAATAACTTGAGGTTTATATCGACATCAAAGCACTTGTTTCGTCGTTTTCTCTAATAGTTCACACGCGCGGTCACTTAATTCACAAAATCGCATCATTTTTCAAATCAAAATTCACTTCAAACCATTATTCAAGCGACAAAACAGGAGCGATAATCTGTCTACGGCCAAGTTCCCGCCAAAACTCCCGATAACTACATATAAAGTCTGATACATAGAGTATCTTTATATTATGGTCTGATACTAGAACGGAACACAGAAATCGATTCACAAAACTTTTTTTTATTAACTGGCCTTACGGCTCTGGCTTCTAGCCCTTCTGAGCCTATCATTTCTTTCATTACAATGCGTCACATTGCGAAGCTTTTCGGGAGATTTTGACGATAGCTCAACACAGCGGACTGTTGATGGTGACAACCACTCAAGTTTATAAGGCGTCCAATCGATCAAGTTAACTTCAGGTTTACATCAATATGAAAACACTTATTTCGTCGTTTTCTCTAATAGTTCACACTCGCAGACACTTCACAAAATCGCATCACTTTTACGAATCAAAATCCACTTCAAACCATTATTCAAGCGACAAAACAGGAGCGGCAATCCGTCGAGGGCCAAGTTGCCGCCAAAAGTCTCGATTGACAAACTTCAACAATCTGGACATCGAGTATAGAGGTAAGGAGGACAATCTCCTATAGGAGAATAGTTGAAAATGTGTCCATACGTAAGCAATAAATTAACACACCGTAACAGTTCAAAAACTTTCCACAACAGCGCTCGAGTAGATACAGGGTATGATAAATTTCCGTATTTTACGTTGAGAGTGATTTTGAAAATAAAAATTTCGAAAGAAATAAAATAATTATTGTAATAGCTACAGTGGCACCACCCTTATTTAGCGCTTTCCTACGGACACTTTTTTTATACAGAGTTTGTACTCCTTACCTCTACACTCCATAAATCTCGACTTATATATTATTTCCGGATTATAATCGGTTGAGTGTGGCTTATAAATACAGCAGTTAAGTGTCTTTGACCATACAGTATATTCTACGTGTATTTTATTAATAAAACTTTACAATATACTGATGCATCACATTGCAAAGTGTCAATTTGTAATATTATTTATCATCAGCATTTCAGATCAGTATTTTTTAAGTTTTGTGGACAATATACAAATCAGACTAGGCTGTATAGTCTAAAACGTTAGATGATTGGCAAATCGTAACAACAACTATTGGGTGCGTTTGGCAGAAAAAAGCGCTAGCAAGCGCTTGTAAGCAAAATGGCGATCGTAAGCGGTAAGCGCTGTCAAATCGTAAGTAGCTATTTTCCTCCAGGACACGATGTTAGTTTTAACCGGGGGAATCTAACCTAATTTAAATATATGTTTGTAAAGTATTCATATTAAAAACTTACCAATCATGAATTTTTAATAACATGTATATGTCTATTCATGTCATTATATTACTTAAAACTAATATTGCACAAAACAACTTATAATTTCTACTTCAAAACAAACAAATTAAATAAGCAAAATGGCGGATTGTGTCAGCGCTACTGAAGTAGCAATCGTGTCCTGGTCGAAAACTATTTTAGCGCTTGTAAGCGCTTGCTAGTGCTTTTTTCGCAGACAATCCGCCATTTTGCTTATTTAATTTGTTTGTTTTGAAGTAGAGTTTATAAGTTGTTTTGTGCAATATTAGTTTTAAGTAATATAATGACATGAATAAACATATACATGCTATTAAAAATTCTCTCGCACAGTCACTGTCATTGGCTGTTTCATTGGGCATGCGCTCGCGCGATGCAACGGTGGAAAACACGCCAGCCAATCAGAAGCATGTGCGAGAGAGACAGACTCTACCTAAACCTTAGAGCA